AACACAACATCCAACTCACCCAAATCACAAACAACATAAAGCGCTCCATACAATCAACCTTACTGCACTTTGATACCCATTCTAAATATTGTCATAATGAATATGGACTTCATATTTATTGACAGTTCTTTCTCTCCTTTACTTTCATCATACTCAACTGTACATGTACATAAAATACATATAATCATTTTCTTTCCTGTCAATTTCATTGACATAATGATTATTGTTGTCTCATTAAGTGGATTTTATTAAGTTTCTAGTCAGCTAGTCTCAACCTCAGTTTTTGTCTTCGACTTTTTCATTAAAAATGAAATGTTATTTTATGAGAAATTCAACAATAAATAATTTAAATTGATGTCATATTAAAAATTGGAAGCTATGCCTTAATGAGGTGATTTTCGCTGTTGTGTGAATGTGCAAAAATTTACAATTTATTCAAATAAAATTCTTTTGTGAATTAAAAAATTTATTCATTATTATTTTTTTTTGCTGTGTTGGAGATGAACACACGCTGATTTTAGAGAGTCATCTACATTTTATGGTAGTTTCGTGGTTAGAAATCAAAACAGATTTGATTATTGTATAAATTTTCGTATGATTTCCAAGCAGTTAAGGTCATTTGATGCTGTTAAAGGACTGTCAATGTGTGATAAGCTTTTGACAAGCTTGAGTGACACAAAGTTGGGTTAGGGTCTATATGGATTGAGGGTTTTAGAATTGAGAGATCAAGATGAACTCGGGATTCCGTTGTGCCTACAAATGACTACCAAATAGAGCAATGTTTCTCGAATTTTTTTAGTCCACGGCACATTTTCACATAAAAATTAAATAAACGCCCAAATAATCTCAATGGTTTTCATGACCTAGTGTGCCGTGGCACATAGATTGAGAACCACTGAATGCAGCCTTGTGCGCAACAAAAGGATAGCTAAGGGGCCGTTCACTTATTACGTTACGCTTTTTTCACCCCCCACCCCTGTTACAATATGTTACAACTCACCCCCCCCCCCCCCCCCCCCCCCCTGAACGTTCATAATTTTTTAAAAGACAGACGACAGTTAGAACGGCTCGTAAGCAGCATTTGTAATAATCATGCATGTAGCTTGGCATGGATAAAGTTGGGGTTGATTTTGGTTAAACAGTTAAGCAGATCTCAAAGTTGATGAAATTTTGTATGGAGTTGAGTCGACTCGGAATTGACTCCGCTATACAAAATCGATGAAAATTTCGAGTCGAGTATGTCACCTAATGATGCTCTGAATTGTGTAAATCGGGATTGGAATCGAAATTAATTTACTGCTGAGTGCTGCACTAAGAAGAAATTAAGAAATTTTTAAGAGATTTTTTGGAATTCAGATGAGTCAAACTGATGATTTTGATCACTTTTTGGATGTCTTGGAAGTAGTCAATTTTAAATATTAAACTTAAAGCTTCAATAAAGTTTAGACTGAAGTCTGTTCAAAAAGTAAAATAAATTCCATTCCATCATGACAACCTTCAAGTTTTGTGACAAAATCTCCTCATTCATATGCAGATATCCTCAATTACAATTCACTAGATTATCTATCACCCAACAAATCCACAGCAATTTCAAATCAAAAACTTACATTTTAAATGAGCTATTAGATTTTAAATCGCAAAACTAGCTGATTTGGAATTCCACACGAATGCGCAATTCCCAATTTAAAAATTTAATTATTTAAAGTCATGTAAAATACAAAATCAATTCAATCTTACGGCAGTTCATTAAGCAACTTTTAGTTTAGTTTTTTTTTTATTGATGTCTATTTTATATGATAAATTATTTCAATAATGTGAAACAGTAGGAGATCATAATCAATTTCACGATTTGAATTGTAAGAAAAAATTAAATGAATCAATTTTAAAATTCAAAGTTGTTTCAAATGTAAACGACATGGAATGACTGCCTTGTGGATATTTTTTTTATCAGATTTTGCAGAATATTTTTTTTTGTTTTTGTTGATTGGAATTTTAAATTTGTTTTCGTGAATTTTTAAGGAACTCTTTTTTTTGTGGTTTTTGAATGAGAAATTAGGAATTGAATTTTGAAGTTTTGTGAGAAAAATATGGACATGATGTTGTAATGTAAGCAATATTGAGTCACCAGAGAAGTCTTAATAACGTTCCCGAGGAGCGAAAGTCGGTTAATCGAGCAGAATACTGATCGATTAACCGACTTGTGCCTTTCGAGATTCTTGACTAGGTTTAAGTGTCAATTGTTTCCTAACGTTGGAACCTTATTAAATCTAAACAGTCCTGAAACCCTAAAAACTCCCAAAACCTTTAAAATCTAGAAATCTTAAAAACAGCTAATTCATTGGAATACTTCACCAAAATAATTCATTGGAATACTTTACTTCAAATCTGTTACACAAATTGAAGTTTTTAATGAAAATCGTTCGGAATAAGCTTTACAACTTATTCATTTTAAATGTTCTGAATTAATTTCTCATTAAATATTCTGCAGCAAATGAATTTGAATACAACATTGTTCTTATTTCCTTTCGATCGGAACTTTTCTTCCGGAATGAATTTATATTTTTTGTAGAATGAATTTTGAAGCTTCATGAATTGTTGTTTGTATGAATTAGAATTATGAATTTGTGCTCTTTAAATTGACTATTCATGAATGATTAACTCCATACACAGTTTTCTTAATAGCACATTATAATTCAATCTCTTTTTGTGTATTAAAGAACTGAGCTATAATGGCTTTAGAAATTAAATAATAAGCGAAGATAAATGAACATTCGTGTGCAACATTAATTGAATCTATTAACAGGGTTGGTGTCTTTGATTGGATTTGGAAGTTTTTTGAGTTGCAATGCTCAATAGTTTTATTTAAAGCAGAAGAGATGTTATCCTTTATGAACTCATAGAGACATTGTTTATATCAAGGACTTGGCAAATCTTAGTCTAAGTCAGTGTCTCTCAAACTGTTTTGGTCGGCGACACACCCTGATGATAAGCCATGACCAAAACTGTATACGGCATACAATTTTTCGAATTGTTTTGCAACGCAGCAAGTGTGTCGCGACACAAAGTTGCATATTCACTGGTCTAAAACCAAGTCTAAGTGTGTCTTTAGTTTATATGTGTCCTAAGTCTGGATTTGCACAATATCTGAGTCTGTCCTAAGTCTGGGTACATACCAGATCTAGGTGTGTATCATGTCAAGATGTTAACCAAGTCTAGATGTGTATATAATCTTGGTTTAAATGAGGTTAAGGTCTGTTCTAGATCTAGGTTTGTACCAAAGCAATCTCAACCTTCAAGAATACTAGTCTTATTTCATATAATTATAGGACTCTGCCGTATATAAGCAGACAATCCAACAGACACTAATCCAGTGGTGGACAACCTTTTTTGTGCCTCGGCAAACCTTAATGTTAATCTACGACGGAAACCGCACACGGCAAACAGCTCGTGAAATTTCTCAACTTTATTTCTGCAAAATACTAATTCACCGCAGCACATGGGTTGACTACCACTGCACTAATTCATATAACTACATCACCATCAACTCTGCATCCACCTTTCAATTTCATTGTTGCTATTGCCACAATGTTGTTGCCATATCAAGCAAGATAAATTGGTGAAATAAGTGGCAATTAAATAAGCGAGATTGTGATTTTTCTGCGACGTGAACAGCAGCGTCAGAAGAAACAAGAAAAAAAAAATCAATTTTAAAAACACTACTCGCTGTGTAGTCATGAATCACTACTCGCATATATTATTATTATTATTTCATTTGATAAAAAAAAGCTATTAGCGTCTTCAATATCGTTTACACCTACTTTAGGAACTCATTTGTGGTGCCTTCTTTTTTGCTTCGTAATTTCCGATTTGTTAATGACTTTTTTGATTTTTTATTTCACTTTTTAATTTTTATTCTTTCCCTTTTTGATGTCTACTTGGGTGAATCATTAATTTAAAAAATGTTCTATCAAGAAGTTTACTAATGCCTTTTGAACCTTGAATTTAGCGTGGATAATTGATGTATTTTGTTTGATGTCTGTCTTGGATTGATGGATGGATTGATAATCGCAATATTTTGAAATGTTTTTGTAGTTTTGAGGGTGAATTTTTTTGAATTGTTTTGAATTTTAGAACGCAGCAGCTATCAAGCAATTCAGAGTTCTAGATTAAGGTAGCAAGAGTATTGCTTTCCATGCCTAGATCAAAGGCGTTGCATAGGGGGGGGGGGGGGGGGGGGGGGGGGGGGGTATTTCAGGCAACGCCCCTATCATACCAAAAACTATCGATTGCAAACACCAATTTGCTTTCCAATGTTAATAACAATTCAAAATGCGCTTAAATGAACTCAACTCTAAAGCTGACCTCAACAAACTTTTCACTGTCAATGAAAGAAAAATTTAAACATAAAAAGTCCAAAATAATTATCATATGGGGTCGTTCACTTATTACGTTCGCATTTTAAGGGGGAGGGGGTTTGAAAAATTGTAACAAAATGTAACATAGGGGGGGGGGGGGTTCAAGAAGTATGTAACATTCTGTCGTCTGTCTTTTAAAATATGTTAAAGAAAAAAATTTGTTTACAAATTCACACCAAAAACATTTTTTTAAATTTTCCACCTTTTAAATGATAAAATAAATTATGAACGTTCAGGGGAGGGGGGTTGTGAGTTGTAACATATTGTAACAAGGGGGGAGGGGGGGGGGGGGTTGAAAAAAGTTTTTTTGCGTAACGTAATAAGTGAACGGCCCCTATTCAATTAGCTTCTTATTGCCTTAATGCCTCAAAACATTCACATTGCATAGACATAGCAGGACTTCAAACTCAAATGAAAAGTTCCATAATAGGGCAAATTTACAGTGAATAAAATCAGTGATGAACTTAGAATGACATTGATAGACATGATAGCAATTAGAATAAATTTGTTTAATTAATTTTCTTCACCGTCATCCGCTGTGGAAAAAGTTAAATTCAAAGAAATTTTTTCAGTCACTCTCCAATTATTCGTTGAAAAAGTCACACGTTTGCCTTAAAGTTTCATTAATTTATTGATTATTGTGCCGTTATGGAGTACTCTAAAGATGACAATGAGGTTGTCATATCTGGGATATCAGGACGATTCCCGCGAAGCTCTAATGTTAAGGAATTCGAACATAACCTATTCAATAAAAATGACATGGTTGACGATGATGATAGCCGCTGGGAGCACTTTAATGAAGAAGTTCCACATCATTTTGGAAAGGTTCAGAATTTAGAAAAATTTGATGCAGCATTTTTCTCGATACTCAGCAAACACGCAAATTGGACAGATCCTCAAATTCGAATTCTTCTTGAGCATGCATATGAGGCTATTCTTGATGCTGGTGTGAGTCCGCAGTCCTTAGTTGGAAGTCGTACGGGAGTTTTCATTGGCAATTCAGAAACAGACGCTAAGGATGTGTATTGTTATCAAATTCCGACCAAAGAAGGATATGGAATGGTTGGGTAAGTTATCATCACTAAGTTGGGTTGATTAAGGGAGTCTTGGATGAATTAGGGGCACTTAAAGATGTCTTAACACTTAGTCGAAGGCAGACAAACATCATTAAGTCAACTTGAGATTTTTGTGCTGAATTTTGGATCAAAACTTTTTCCCATCATGCTGTTTTCCCCTTAACCTAGTTTAACTCTAACATTTCACTCTAACATTTGACTTCCAGAAATGCCGGATTCTACCTTCCCAACCGAATCTCATATGTATTTGGACTCCAAGGACCTTCTTTAAGAGTTGACAGTGCCTGTTCGAGTGCTGCTTATGCACTAAACTGTGCGTTCGATGCTCTCAATAATGGATCATGTGATGCAGCTCTAGTTGGCGGTGCAAATCTATTGATGTCATATCTTACGACGATAGAGTTCTGGAGGTAAGTTCAGTCTATGATTAATTCCAGGCTCGAAAACCAGGCGGTGGTTTAAAAAAGGTATTTGGTGGTATAACGCCTAATTTTTGAGCCTGGGATGAATTGGAGTATCCATTAATACAATTAATAAAGCTGATATCCAAAAAATTAACCAAAACTATAAATATTCTCTTAATTGTCATTCCAGAGGTAAAGTCCTTTCACCTGACGGACTGCATCGGTCCTTTGACGAAAATGCTGATGGCTTCATTCGATCCGAAACAGTTGGAATGATTTTCCTTCAAAAACACAAAGATGCCAAGCGAGTTTATGCAACAGTTATAAATTCATGTGTCAACAACGATGGCTTTAAAGATCAAGGTGCATCATTTCCGTCTAGAATCATGCAAGAGCAATTAATGCGAGATTTATATAAAAAATCAAAAGTAAGTCCAAATGAAGTCAAATTTGTTGAAGCACATGCAACAGGCACAGTTGTTGGTGATTGTGAGGAAATATCAGCAATTGACGCTGTCTATTGTGAGAATCGAGTCGAGCCATTATTGGTTGGCTCAATTAAATCAAATATGGGACATGCTGAAAGTGCTTCAGCTATAGCCTCAATTGCAAAAATAATTTTAGCATTCGAAAGACGTCAAATTCCACCAAATATAAAATTAAAGTCATTGAGGTCCGATGTTGAGGCATTCAAAGAAGGAAGAATTAAAGTTGTGACAGAAGTTGAGGACTTACGTGGTGACTACATTTCCATGAACAATTTTGGACTCGGCGGTGCAAATTCCCATATTTTATTGAAGAGAAATGCAAAAGAAAAATTCAATAACGGAATGCCGTCAGACAGTCTCGAGCGATTGACATTATGGTCAGGTAGAACCGAAGAAGCTGTGAATACCATTTTTGATGAAATTACTCAACGTCCATTAGACACAGAGTTTATTGCATTACTTCAAAATTCACAATCGCAAACGAATTTGGGCAACAACATTCGTGGCTATGGAATTTTTCATCAAAATGAGAATACCATTAATGCTGAGTGCATCCAGCGACATACACATAATTTTAATGGCAATCGTCGACAAGTTGTGTGGATTTATAATGGAATTGGTAGTCAATGGCCTGGCATGGGTGCTGATTTAATGAAAATTCCAATTTTTGCCAATTCCATCAATAATTCAGCAAAAGTTTTGGCGACAAAGGGAGTTGACCTGAAAAGAATTATAACGACTTATGATGATGATATTTTTAGTAATGTCCTCAATTCATACGTTGGAATTGTCGCAATCGAAATCGCCTTTACAGACGTACTTAAAGCAATTGGCATAAAACCCGATTTTATAGTTGGACATTCTCTTGGTGAAATTGCATGTGCTTATGCTGATGGCTGTTTTACAGCTGAAGAGACAATTCTCGTTGCTTATGAACGCGGTCAGTCGAGCATTGATTCTGACAATATTGATGGTGCAATGGCTGCTGTTGGAATGGGATATCAAGAGATGTTAAAAGTTCTTCCAAAAGACATTGACATTGCATGCCATAATAGTGCAGATTCAACGACAATTACTGGACCTGCTGTTAGTATAAATAATTTTGCTAACGAATTGGAGCAGCAAGGAATTTTTGTGAGAAAAGTCAAAAGTTCTGGTGTTGCACTTCATAGTCGATACCTTGATGACTTTGCTAAGAAATTCAAGTCAAAGCTGAATGTTCTATTGACAAGTCCAAAGAAGAGGTCTGAAAAGTGGCTCAGCACATGCTACCCCAAAGTTCTATGGAATGACATTGAGTCTCAATACTCATCACCAGTTTATCATGTCAAAAATCTAACAGACACAGTCTTATTCCAAGAAGTCATCGAAATGCTTCCAAATGAAGTCATTACAATAGAAATTGGACCGTCTGCACTTCTAAAATCAATTTTGAAGCGCTCACAAAAAGATGCGACACATGTGAGTCTTACACAACGTGATAACGACAATGTCACGAACTTCCTACTCAATTCTCTAGGAAATCTATTCGAAAATGGTATTGACATGGAAATCGCAAACATTTATCCAAAAATAAACTATCCAGTCTCACGCGGTACACCAATGATATCACCGCTCATAAAATGGAATCATAAAGATAATTTTACAGTACCAATAATGGAAAGAAATCAGTATTATCAACGACGTAATGTTGTAATAAATTTAAATGATAAAAATTATAGTTTCATACAAGATCATATAATTGACGGTCGTATCCTCATACCCGGTACGCTCTTAGTTTATCTTGTATGGGAGTCATTTAATTTAATGTTCGGTAATCTCAAGACACGAATGAAAATTTTATTTGAGGATGTTAAATTAACGAGAATAACATTTTTGGAGAGGAATCAAGACATATTATTATGTATTTGTATTAATAGAGGCTCCGGATACTTTGAAGTGACTGAGAAGTCAACAATTTTGGCGCAAGGTTTCATAAAGAAATTGACGGAATTTAATTCAATCAATTTGCCGTTAATCGAGAGAGAAAATTCTGTGGAGCTGATGGAGTCTGACTTTTATAAGGAAATGAGGTTGCGTGGTTATCATCATCAAGGAATATTTCGAGGCGTTAAAGAAGTTCGTGATGATGGTTTGTGGGGGAAAGTTCAATGGAATAATAATTGGTGTACATTCCTTGATGCATTACTGCAAATTTTTATTCTGATGGACGATACAAGAGCTCTCGTTTTGCCAACATATTTTGGTAAAATTCTCATTGATCCTGACAAGCATTTCGAGCTGATTAAAGGAATGGAAAGTGAAGAAAAAGTTTTCGAATTTCTCGGCGATAAAGCCTCAAAAACCATCACAATTGGAGGCGTTGAAATTCATAATTTTGATGGAAGTGAAATTTCAAGACGTCGCGAAGCAGCAAAGCCCGTCCTTGAGACTCATAAATTCATCTCGAATTTCTCTCAGTCAATTTTCTCGAAACGTGATGCTGCTAAAATTTGCACTCAATTGCTGCTTGAAAAAAATTTATCAACAAGCTTAAAATGTGTTGAGGTCAATGAGGATGATCAAGAAGACTTTTTCAGCTTGTATATTTATGAAGCACTTAAAGATATTCCGGCTATGAAGTTCAATGTGACCCTCTTGACACAGCAACAAGTTGATGTAGAAAATATTGAAGTTGATGATAAGGAAATTTCTAATTTTAATGACTTGGATGTGATTGTCAGGAAGAATTGTGTTGGTGATGTAAAGTTTATGGAAACTGTCAAGTCATGCTTGAAAAATGATGGATTTTTGATAGCTGAGGAGCTTAAGAAACTCGAGAATGAGCACAAAAATTTCAATGGCTTTAAAATCATCGCTAGATATCCAACAGAATCATCATTCATCTACATCCTTCAAGAAATCAAGTCTTACAAATTCGATTCACCAAAAGTCATCAAAATAACCACAAAACTTAATGAATGGCTTGAACCTTTACAGACAGCACTAAAAGAAAATTCACAAGTCATTGCATATTCCCAAAAAGACAACATTTCAGGCATCCTCGGCCTCATAAATTGCATACGTAGAGAACAAATTGGAAAGAATTTAAGATGCGTCTTTATTGACGACGACAGAGCACCTAAATTTAGTCTAGACAATTCATTTTATCGCTTACAATTGGAACTTGGGTTTGCTGTTAATATTTTAAGAAATGGAAATTGGGGAACATTTAAGCACTTAGATTTAGTTAATGATGTTGAGGAGAAGCCACAACTCAATGATTGTTATGTAAAATGTCTATCAAAAGGAGATTTGAGTTCATTGTCATGGATACAGGGTTCAATTATGACTGACAATCCAAAATCAGTCCGAGTCCATTATGCTACATTAAATTTTAAGGATCTTATGCTTGCACTCGGCCAAATCACACCGAACATTGAATACACCAGAATTGAAGAGCAGAAAATTTTAGGAATTGATTGGTCAGGCATGACAAGTGATGGAAAGAGAGTTTTTGGAGCAAGTACATTTGGTGGATTAGGCGCTTATATTGATCATGATAAGAGATGTCATTGGGAAGTTCCAGAGAATTGGACATTAGAAGAAGCAGCAACAGTCCCAATTGTATATTTGACTGCTTACCTTGCATTCTTTGAACATGCCAAAATAGAAGCTGGAAATTCAGTTTTAATTCATTCCGGAGCCGGTGGAGTGGGACAAGCTGCAATTCAAGTTGCATTCGCTTATGGACTTGAAGTTTTTACAACTGTCAGTTCCGATAAGAAGAACGAATTTTTATTGAATAAATTTCCTCAGTTGAAGCCAGAGTTCATTGGAAATTCCAGAGACACATCATTCGAACGAATGATTATGACACGAACAAGAGGTAAAGGAGTCGATTATGTCCTCAACTCACTCTCGGGAGATAAGCTTCAAGCATCAATCAAATGTCTTGCCAAGCATGGAATTTTCCTTGAAATTGGAAAATATGACATGGTGAATCGTACGAAAATCGATATGAGATGCTTTGCGAAGGACATTGGATTCCGATCGATGTTTGTTGAGAATCTTTTCATCACACAAGTCGGGAAGGTTAGTAGCTATTTATGATATTTTATTTGGGGAACTTTCGGGAATAATGTCAAAAAATAATAGTCATTTTTCAATAACAAACAATAGAATTCAAATAAAAATTCTATATCCTTAGAGTTCTTTACTGTTCCCCCCTGTGACGTCATTTGTGAACAACTCCTGAGAAATTTTCTAAGACAGTAATGACTAACCTTTGTACTGCGGTCCACTATTGAGTCTTCTAGAGTATTCTTTAGTGTGTCACAAAAAACATTACTTGGGCCGTGTTTTAAAAAAGGTTGATTACCACTGGATCGAAAGCAGTGTTTCTCAACCTTTTTTGGTCCATGGCACATTTTTGAGCCATTAAGAATGAAAATTTAGGACCAATTTCTTACAAGTGTGCCGCGGCACATAGTTTGAGAACCACTGGGCTAAGGGATCATTCAATTATGACGTTTTTGTCAGTTTGAACAAAAGAAAACTTTTAAGCAATGTGGAGTGAGCTCTAAAAAATAAAAAAAAAATGATAAACGTCATTTATGAACGACCCTTAACGATAATGTTCAACTTTACAGAGAATCTACGATAAAATGGCAGAGGACATAAAGAAAGGAATAATCAAACCAATTGACTATAAAGTGTTCAATGCAAATGAGATTGAGGATGCTTTTAGATTCTTGACAGCTGGAAAGCATATTGGAAAAGTGCTTGTGAAAGTTCGTGAAAATGAGAATTGTATTGAGACATTGCCGATCAAATGTATTCCCACAATTCATTGCTATGAAAATGAATCATGCATTATTGTCGGTGGACTAGGTGGATTTGGATTAGAATTGGCAGATTTATTAGTGCTGAGGGGCTGTAAAAATCTGGTGTTGAGTTCTAGTAGAGGAATTGTTAATAGTTATCAGGCATATAGAATCAGGTGAGTTGATGTGGCTATTTGTGGCAAATTTCTAATTCCATTTCTATTTCTATAGAACATGGGAGTCATATGGATGCAAAATTATAATTTCAACATCCGACATCAAAACCAAGCAAGGATGTAAAGAGCTTATAAATCAAGCAACAAATATAGGCATTGTCAGTGGAATTTTCAATCTCGCAGTAAACCTTCATGATGCACAATTTGAGGATCAAACAATTGATTCATTTGAAAAGTCACTAGCACCGAAGGCAATAGCAACGAAATATTTAGATGAATTATCGCAAATTCTATGTCCAAATTTGAGATATTTTGTAATATTTTCGAGCATCTCATGTGGCAGAGGCAATGCTAGTCAAAGTAATTATGGAATGTCCAATTCAATTATGGAGAGGATAATTGAAAAGCGACATAGGCAAGGATTGCCAGCAAAGGCTATTCAATGGGGAGCAATTGGTGTTGTTGGAATCCTCGCTAACCTTCTAGAGAAGAATGTCAATCTAAATATTGGTGGAACATTGCCGCAAACAATATCATCGTGCCTTGATGTAATTGATGCCTTGGTGACATCCGACGAGCCAATCGTATCGAGCATTATTGTCGCAAAGAATCAATTTGGTGATGGCAAAAAAGGCAATTTTATCGAGACGATGCTGAATATTTTAGGAATTAGTGATAAAAAGTCATTGTCCATGGATACGCCGCTTTCAAAACTCGGCATTGATTCTTTAATTGCTGTTGAGATTCAGCAAGTTTTGGAAAGGGATTATGACATACTTTTTTCAGCACAAGAGTTGAGATCTCTTACATTACGTGAGCTTGAGAAGCGTGTTCATACGAAAGGAAGTACAGCAGACAATGTTAAGAAGGAAACTGTTGACACAGCAAATTTAATGATAAGTCAACTGGGCGATGAGTCGACAAAGGATAAAATTGTCATAACAATACCGTCAAGAGTCGAAGACAAGTCAGTTAAAGCATTAATAATTCCCGGATTTGAGGGAATGTCGAATGACATGTTAAGCTCAATCGCTAAAGAGCTTCAATGTCCTGCTTATATTTTACAATTGGGTAAATCTTATGATGCGACTACACTACAAGATATTTTGAGCATCATATGGAATGACATAATCGACTTATTTTCTGAAAATGAGAAATTTTTGGTCATTGGATATTCGTTTGGATCGTTAATTGCATTAAAAATTGCAAACATTTTGGAGTCGCTTGATAAAACTGGAAATTTAGTCATGATTGATGGATCGCCGCTGTTTGTGAAGCAATTGGCTGAAAATTTACTTTCGGATGTGATTCAGGACGATGAAAAAATTCGAGAAAAAATTTCAATCATGTCAATAAAGGCATTGGAACCGACAATGTCTGAAAATGTTATTAAAGAAATTTTAAGTCTCGGCACATTCAAGGAACAATTTGAAAAGTTTAAGGACATTTCAAACACAAATTTCAATTACAGCCAAAATTACATTCAAGAATTCAATGAAGGAATGTTCAATAGATCAAAAATAGCATTGGAAGTAAATGAAAATTCATTACCGTCTCTTCATCGAACGCCAATAAGCCTCTTAAAATCTACGGAAAGCTCCTTAGTGAGCATCAGCGATGACTATGAATTGAAGAAGTTTTCATCTCAAAATATTAATGTGCTTAAGATTGTAGGCAATCATCAGAGTATGTTGGGTAATTTGGAGCTAGTTGAAGTACTTAATAAAATTATCTTAGACTTAAGGACGGTGGAAAATGGGGGGTTATAGATTATTTATTTTTTTCAATCTTGTTAATGATTAAATGAAATTTTCAAACCTTAGTTGAATTTTTTGTAATACTAAATTAAACTTTTTTTGCAATATAAAAATTATCTTTTATTATTAAATAACAATAAAATTTAAATTTAAAAGGCAATAAAGTTCTTTTTTCTTATGATGGATAACCAGGCAGGGAGGATTCTCGATTATTTGGGGGTCCTTAGAGTTTGTTTAGTAGATTTCTACTTAAAAATAATCTGTTAAAAATGAATCTACTCAAATAACCCAACTTGAGTGTCTTAACATACTGGGAATTAAAAACCAAGGCGTGGAAACTATCCCAAATATCCAATTTATCCCATATATCCTAAAAATATTCAAAATAATCCCTGAGCCTGTATGCATTAGAATTGAGATATCTCATCATATCCTGAAATTACACGTCCAATACACTAAGGATAAGTTGGGATATCTCAATTCGAATGCATACAGGCTCAGGGATTATTTTGAATATTTTTGGGATATATGGGATAAATGGGATATTTGAGATAGTTTCCACGCCTTGTTAAAAACAAGACCTTGTCTGGCATCTAGTTTTCATCCAATCGCAGACACAATTCAATTGTAATTATTTATTAGATGCTTGAGTATTGTAGGCCCAGAAACTGACCTCAGGGGCTTTACAAGTGCTCTGAGGAGCAGATTGGTAATCATGTCATGAAAAGATATATTTCTACATAATAAGGTGTAAATCATGTCAACTCATTTATAGTGAGGAAGCTGATTTTATAGTTTAAGTGACAGAATGGTTCAAATTTTGTGATTCGACTCCAGGTGACTACAACTTGATACAAATCTAATAGCAACAAGTCGGTTAATCGAATAGAAATCAGCCATTTTGCTGCTGTAACTCAAGAATGGTGGTGGATTCGATTTAAGATAGAACAAGATGCTGCAGATTATAATCTTTAATAATCTTTCATACAAAGACTAAAATCTTCGTTTTAAAAAGATTATAATCTGCTGGAACCTTGGTCTAGAACAGTGCTGTCCAAACATTTTTCAGCTACGGCACATTTTGACTTTATAGATTTTATCTGGTGTAAATCTACAAATTTCTGAAAAACTACCTTTTTTTGGGAGTTTTAATATTCTTCCACGGCACACCTAAGGATGTTCAAGGCACACAGTTTGGTCAACTCTGGTCTTTAACCATGCCAGAGTTACGCCAGCTTGGTGAAAGATTTCTATTCGATTAACCTACTTGTGCTATTTGGGAAAACTTAATCCACACACTTTGAAATATTTAATCCAATCTTCATCAATTGATTCATTTGCCCTATATTCATTGACAGTGCAATATCAACTTAATCTCATAAAGTGTTTTTAATTTCTTTTACGATTGGGACTCACAAAGTATGAAAGATAAGCAGTGATACTTCATGCCTGCAGGAATTCTATTCAACAACTCAAGTAAGTTATTAAGTAATAAAAAAAGAGTTTTTAATCACTTACTAAGGAGGTCTGATAATGCCTAATTTATTGTCAAGTGATATTTCAAGATGATTTCTTTGAAAATTGCTTAATAATGCGTGTGGTATAATACAATGACAGTTTGAGGTTTTTTTTTATGGTAAGTCAGGTAGTGTTGGTCGAGTATTAATCACACTTCCCTGGATTTGTGTGTCTATTTTCACAGCATTAGGTTCATTGCTAGAGTGTAGACTTCTAGCCCTAAATAACAGTTACCCGCTAATCCTAGGGCTAGATCCTATGAATAAAAATGGATTTAACCCTGCACTATGGGGCGAAATTGAAAAAAAGGGGTAATTCACTTCGAAAATAGGACTCTTTCAATTTAGGTTCTTGGGGTATTTTTTTCTTGTAGAGGACATTAAATTAGACTTGCATGCCAAATTTCAGACCATTTTGTGCTGTTTTTGAGATTCTAGAGCTATTTGAAGTTGAAAATGAGCAAAAAAACTGGTTTTTTCATGACATATTTAAACTTAAAAATCTCTGCAATGTTTAAAGTTATTGAAAAATTGTTTTCGGTTCCTATAAGAACAATATAAGAGCTTTATTTCAATGTATTGTAAAATTTTTAACTTTCCAGTTTTGGTGCTGGTATGGTTGGAAATGTACGAAAATCCTATGAAAAATATCTTCAACCGTGCCGCAACTATCTTAGCAGGTCGATTTCCAGGTAACTGAATATACAAAAATATAGCTCTTGATATACAGTTTGTAAAACTGTATAAACATTAGAAATAACAAGGTACGTTTTTGAGAAAAATTGGTTTGTGTAAGTCGTGAAATATTAAGCCAAAAACTGATTTTTCTTTTAAAAACAACAAATCATTCATAGTAGAAAAGTTTTGTAATGTTTTCTAATTGCAAATAATATTTAAAGACAACCTGCAAAGATTTTTTTTCAAAAAACTCAAAATTTGACGAGATATCGGGTACATTTGATATCTGATGACTTGTATGTTTTTTGCACCACTCAAATGACTCTAACTTTTGTTTAACATAATATTTTTCAGTTCTGTTTCCTGTTTATTGTAGCTTAAGTCAATACCTTTCTAACAATATATAACACTTGATAGTTGCATATGACATTGATCTTGATTATTGGCATTGTTTGTGAATGACCCCAAACTAAGAAAAATCTTGAAAACGACATTTCTAGAAATACCACTTAGAAAGAAAATTGTGTATTGTTTTGAGGTTTTTTATGATGATTTATGATAATTATGACTGTTAAAACTCAAAAACATGGAATTCATAAACTTTTTGCGATCTCAGGTAGCCTGATTAGGTACGACCCTAGTAGTATCTATTGGACCAGAAAGTCTCTAGTATCAGACTATTTTAAAAACTCAAATTAATGAATTCATCATATTTAAGCATATTTATAGCAAAATATTTCATTTTTAGATACTTTTGGTTGAAAAATTGTGAATTTTGGCTATTTTGTTTGAGTTCAGCTTGCGTCGGTCACATTCAATCCAATCTAGGTGCAACTATAATGAAGTTTTATACCAGTATTATACATCGTCTTAAAGGTACTGATTTAAACTAGCAATAATTGAAAACAGAATGCAAAAATATGTATCCTGAAAAAAGTTAGAGCTCTTTATGTACATCAAAAAGCATACAAAAACCCAACCACCATAGGTAAAAATACAAAAATTTAAAATTTTAACGAAAATCTTACAAAAAAGTATTGAAAATGTGTTTATATGTGGTTATTATTACAAAAAAATCAAAGTTTGTCAAAAAAAACTGATAAATTTTAAATTTTTGTATTTTTACCTATGGTGGTTGCGTTTTTGTATGCTTTTTGATATACATAAAGAGCTCTAACTTTTTTCAGGATACATATTTTTGCATTTTGTTTTCAATTATTGCTAGTTTAAATCAGTACCTTTAAGACGATGTATAATACTGGTATAAAACTTCATTATAGTTGCACCTAGAGTGGATTGAATGTGACCGACGCAAGCTGAACTTAAACAAAATAGCCAAAATTCACAATTTTTCAACCAAAAGTATCTAAAAATGAAATATTTCGCTATAAATATGCTTAAATATGATGAATTCATTAATTTGAGTTTTTAAAATAGTCTGATACTAGAGACTTTCTGGTCCAATAGATACTACTAGGGTCGTACCTAATCAGGCTACCTGAGATCGCAAAAAGTTTATGAATTCCATGTTTTTGAGTTTTAACAGTCATAATTATCATAAATCATCATAAAAAACCTCAAAACAATACACAATTTTCTTTCTAAGTGGTATTTCTAGAAATGTCGTTTTCAAGATTTTTCTTAGTTTGGGGTCATTCACAAACAATGCCAATAATCAAGATCAATGTCATATGCAACTATCAAGTGTTATATATTGTTAGAAAGGTATTGACTTAAGCTACAATAAACAGGAAACAGAACTGAAAAATATTATGTTAAACAAAAGTTAGAGTCATTTGAGTGGTGCAAAAAACATACAAGTCATCAGATATCAAATGTACCCGATATCTCGTCAAATTTTGAGTTTTTTGAAAAAAAATCTTTGCAGGTTGTCTTTAAATATTATTTGCAATTAGAAAACATTACAAAACTTTTCTACTATGAATGATTTGTTGTTTTTAAAAGAAAAATCAGTTTTTGGCTTAATATTTCACGACTTACACAAACCAATTTTTCTCAAAAACGTACCTTGTTATTTCTAATGTTTATACAGTTTTACAAACTGTATATCAAGAGCTATATTTTTGTATATTCAGTTACCTGGAAATCGACCTGCTAAGATAGTTGCGGCACGGTTGAAGATATTTTTCATAGGATTTTCGTACATTTCCAACCATACCAGCACCAAAACTGGAAAGTTAAAAATTTTACAATACATTGAAATAAAGCTCTTATATTGTTCTTATAGGAACCGAAAACAATTTTTCAATAACTTTAAACATTGCAGAGATTTTTAAGTTTAAATATGTCATGAAAAAACCAGTTTTTTTGCTCATTTTCAACTTCAAATAGCTCTAGAATCTCAAAAACAGCACAAAATGGTCTGAAATTTGGCATGCAAGTCTAATTTAATGTCCTCTACAAGAAAAAAATACCCCAAGAACCTAAATTGAAAGAGTCCTATTTTCGAAGTGAATTACCCCTTTTTTTCAATTTTGCCCCATAGTGCCCTGCTGCCTTGCTTAGCCGATCAATAATTATCTTTTAATAATCTCTTGTACTATTGTCATGAAAACAAAAAGTAAATCACCCAAGACAGTCATAAAGTACAAAACAAAGTCTTAGATAACTAAATGATTTATTTATATCATCACGTATACTCGCGACAGTACGCATTAATGTGTGTGAGAATATCGAGAATTAAAGCAATAAATTGAGTAAATTCAAATCGCTATAAATACATCCAAAAGTAGCAATAGCATGCAATTAAAGCCCGTGTTTCATCACAACAGAATGAGATAAGATCCACAAGCCTATAAGTACAATTTCACATTAATTGATAGTAGCAGTTAGTTTTTGTCATTGGAACAATGAAGTTGAAATTGTTTTTATTGTTTTGTGCTTTAAACTTTACTTTTGTCGTTAATGTGCCGGAAAATTTGACAAAAAAATGTGAACAGAGCAGTTTTTGTAGAAGATGCAGGAATATTGAGGCTAAAAAGTCACCATTTGAGATCGTACTCAGCTCCGTTGACTACTCTGAAAATAATTTAATGGTGGATATTCTTAATAAAAATACTCAAATTACTCTACACATGAAATTTGAGTGTCTTGAAGGCGACACCTTCCATTTTGATATTGATGAGAAAGAACCGATGAATAATAGGAGGTTCCGTCTTAATAATGAAGTCATTGATCATCAATTAGCCAAGAAAAACATTCAAATTGTATCCAGTCAAACCTTAAATTCAGTGAACGTGACATGTGACAAAAATCTAGCAGTGCTTCATATTTCTCCATTTAAAATTGATTTTTATCGCGATGATGTTTTGACTGTTACAGCAAATGGAGAAGGTCTTATGACTTATGAGCATCTTCAATTAAAAGGAACACCAGCAGCTGGTGGTGATCCAGATTCATGGGAAGAAACTTACATGGGAGTCACTGATACAAAACCAAATGGACCTGAAGCTGTTGCACTTGATTTCACTTTTGCAGACTCACAAGTTCTTTTTGGTATTCCTGAACATCATGATACATTCGCATTAAAAAGAACATCCTATGGTGAACCTTACCATCTATTCACAAATGATGCGACACACTTTGAAGTTGACAGTCGAATGCCAAATTATGGTGCAGTTCCAGTCATTTATGGTCATGCAGTTGGACGAACTTCTGGTATTTTCTGGCACAATTCAGCAGACACATATGTAGACATCCATGATACTCAAACAGCTCATTTCATCACAGAAGGAGGTGTTATTGATGTCTATGTGTTTTTAGGTCCAACACCGAATGACGCATTTAGCCAATACACAAAAATCACTGGCGTTGGAAATTTACCACAACTTTTCACTCTCGGTTATCATCAATGTCGATGGAGTTACATGAGCTCAAGTCAAGTCCTTAATATAGTTAGTGAATTTGATAAGAACGACATTCCACTCGACACTATGTGGCTTGATATAGATTATACGGATGGCTATAGATATTTCACATGGAATAATCAAACCTTTCCAAATCCACTTGAGTTTATGGCTGCGTTAAATGCAACTGGTCGTCGATTAGTTCATATTATTGATCCACATATCAAGGCTGATGAAAATTACTTTTTCTTTAAGAAGACACGTGATCAAAATATGTTGGTAAAGACAAATGATAAGAGTGACTATTATGGAGATTGTTGGCCCGGCAACTCAACATATCTTGATTATCTTAATCCAGCAGCACGCAAATATTATGCAGATCAATATTTACTTGAAAATTTTAAAGACAATTCAGTCGAAACTGGAATATGGAATGACATGAATGAACCAGCTGTATTTAATTCACCTGAAAAGACATTCCCAAGAGATAATATACATAATAATGGTGAAATAGAAGTAGAGCATAGGTTAGTTCATAACATCTATGGCTTCTTACATACAAAGGCTACATTTGATGGATTGGCAAGAAGAAGTGCCGATTATCGTCCATTCATACTTACACGTTCTTTCTTTGCTGGCTCACAGAAGTATACATCAGTATGGACAGGAGATAATACAGCTGATTGGCCTTATTTGAAGGCATCTATTCAGACATGTCTTGCTATATCTGTGTCAGGTATAAAGGTTAATAATTTTATTCAAAAGATCAAATTTTATTGAAATATATTCAATATTTTTTTAAGGTATCTCCTTCTGTGGATCAGACATTGGTGGATTTTTCGGTGAACCTGATGATGAACTTTTCGTGAGATGGACACAAGCTGCTGCCTTCCAGCCATTCTTCAGAAATCATGCAAGTTGGGGTACAGCAATGAGAGAACCTTATGTATGGGAAAATAACACAAAAACCTTAGCCACAAATGCCATGAGAAGACGCTATGAGTTCCTTCCATTCTGGTACACGCTATTTTATGAGCATGAAGTAACAGGATATCCAATTATGAGACCAATGTTGGCACAATATCCAAATGATAAGAATGTCTTTAAACTTGATACTCAATACATGTTAGGTGATAAACTTCTTGTCAGTCCCGTCTTGGAACCAAAATCTACATACGTGCTTGTCCGATTCCCATCAACGAATGGCGCCGACGAAGGAGATATTTGGTATGACATTTATGACAATTACAAGAAATACGATAAAGTTGGAACACAAGCAATTGAAGCTGGTGAAGATAAAGTTCCAGTTTTTCAACGAGGCGGAACAATAATTCCAAGAAAAATGACACCACAAAAGTCATCATTTCACATGCGAGACGATCCATTATCGCTTTTTGTTGCTGTAGATAAAAATCTGAAGGCAACAGGAAATGTCTTTATTGATGACGAGACAAGCTATAAATATCGTAATGGGTCATTCAAAATGGTCGACTTTGAATTTGATAACATGACTTTAACAGTCACTGAAAATACCTTTAAGGAATATAGTCCAAAATATGATAGAATTTATATCACTAGAAATGAAACAATCAAAATGGCACAATTCAAGTGCATGAATGCCGAAACTTATACAGAATTGGAGGCAATTTATGTTGCTAATCAATACTATTATGTTGATGTCAAGAACCAGTCATGTGAAGAGTTGTCATGGACTCTTACTCTCGTCAGCAGTGGAATGATGACTATAATGTCGAGAGGTTTACTCATTTCTATAATCATCTTCAATGTCATTAAAAAGTTATTATTTTAAATTGTAAAAGTTTGGGGGCTGTTCATTAATGATGTCCAATTTTTTAAAGGGGGTTGCGGGTTCTGTGTGACATTCTTAAATGAGGTATGAAAGACAATTTTGCAATTTTGACCGTGACATCATTTACGAACACTCCCCACACACCTATCTATTAAGTATAGAAAGTAAAGTCCATCAATAAATGAGACTTGCAAGAACCGCAAGCATAAAATATAGCTCATAAGTCTGACAATCTATCTATTATAAAACTTACTCATTCAATAATTCTTCATTATATGTTAAAATTTGAAAATTTTCTATACGTACTTACAAAATCTCAAGACCATAAATGACTTTATTGACCATTCATTTTCGATTATCTCCTTCAAAAGTCATAAATAACGTACAAACCACAATGGGTTTATAAGACATACATAAAATTTATATATGTATAGTGAGTGAATGGGAGATAAAGATAGAGAGAGGCTTACCACAAAAAAAGACTTTTATTATTTTTATTTTTGCGATAATATTTCAAAAAATATATATAAATTCTATGTGGTGCTGCTGCTGCTTTATGGCATGACAAGAGGAGAATTGTGTTATTTTAGCAAGCTACAAAACTTTTTTTTGTCATATTTATGAATAAAGGAGGGTTTTTTAAGCCGCAAATCTACGCCCACAAATCCCCTAACAAAGTGATGTTGTTGCTATATCTTAATATCTAATTTGAGGCCATTTACGCAGGCATTTATATATTGAGAATATTTATAATGTATTTTTGTTATTATTGAAAGGGATTGCGAATATGTGAATTTTTTGCTGATTGATGTTTAGGGTGTTTTAATGTGCGGCATTAAATGGAATGACTTTTGAGATTTTTTTCTGGGAATCGTAAATGGATTTTTGTGCTTGGATGGATTAGTTGTTGTTCTTAGAATTTTTGGATTAGTTGAAAATTACTGAGAGAGTCGTTTGCTTATTACGTAATGTCTTTATAGGTCATAGGAGAAGTGGTAAGGGGGATCTGGATGTTTGGACAATCTGAATAAAAGGCAAAAGAATTGTCACATTTCTCAGAAGGGGCTCATTCTTTTAACCGAGTGGCTCAAAAAAGTCTCTTGGGAACCATTATGTTGTCATCAAGACTTTAACAACGCCAATAGCTTACTTACTTACTGTAACCACGTTCCTATGTGGGACTTAGGCTACAACAAAATGCCAATCTTCTGGATTTATAGTCTACCAGATTCTGAGAATTCGCCTGTAGCATCTATTAACGAAAACTTGTGGCTTACGTTTGACTTCGTCAATAGCTGCTACAGACTGATTCTTAAGATATATTGAACTGGGAATCCAGAAGATTGGTCATCGAATAAAAAGCTTTTTGAAAAAGCAGGTTAAAAAGACATCAACAAGAAGATCTAGATGAGGAAGTACGATTGGACACGACATATACTTCGTAAAAAAACCATGGCAGAGAGAATATCAATGCTGGGACAAAAGCACAAGTTTGTTGTGCTAGAAAAAGATGTCCAGAAGCTCCAAAATCTACTTGGTGCAGAACAGTGATGAAGGAATGTCAGCTGAATATGCGAACAGAGAAATTGTACAAACTAGATGACAAAGCAAGCAACAGAGTCAGATGGATAGCCTTTTATTGTAACCTAAGCTCCACATAGGTATGCAAAAGAATATGGTTGCAGGAAGTAAGACTTCAACAAGACCTCGACAGCAATTTTATGATCAATTTGATGACAAAAGTTGAGATTAGCTTTATAAAATTGCAAATTAAGAATTTTTAACATTTCAAACTTCTTTTGAGTGTTTTATTTACATTGCAAATAATAAGTTCATCTTAACATATAATAAGTCACGCTTAATTACTGCTGTAGCTTGAAAATGTTAATATCACATCAACAGCATGAACTCGTCATCTGCACTGAATTAACCTCGCGAATTCTTTACTCTGACTTTCGAGCAATAAAAGAAACAGTTCGAGCATTTAATGCAAATTTGTCATTTTTTTGCTTCAATCCAAACATTTTGAACATCTTTTCGTAAACTTTTGGCTTCTCGCTCTCTGGTAACAGTCCAAGATTTGGAGCCGAAACTTCAAACGAAGCTTAAAAAAAGAATTTTGAATTAAAATAATAAAATTAAGTTTTTAAAAATTCAACTACCTTGAACAGCTTTTAAATCATCAAAAACAAATTCATCTTCCTCAAGATCAGTAATATTAACAATTTCCATTCCATTATCATTCAAAAGTTTCTTAATAACTTCAGTTGGATCATCTAAAAGTCGAAAATTTTGAAGATTATCATAATCAATTAACTGCTTGACATAATCATCTTTTGATTCCATTAATTCCTTAATTACTGCTTTTGTAAATTGCATAAAAACACAACAGAAAATGCCATTTGGATTCAGAAAGTTTTGAACATTTTGGAATGCAATATCGAAGTTATTAATCCATTGCATGCAGAAAAATGATGTTATTAAGTCAAATTTGAGATTTTTAAAGATTTCAGGAATTTCTTTTGCAGCATCCATTACGTGAAATGAAATTAAGTCACTTCCGTACTTTTCATTTGAAAATTTCACCATTTCTTCGCTTACGTCAACTCCAACGACTTTCGAGAACTTCAATCCACTATTGCCAACAATAACTTCACTCAAAATCGTTCCACAGCCACTGCCAATGTCAAGAACAGCGATTTCCTTTCCATCGAAGGCGTTTTTCAATTTGTCATCATTAACTTTAATAAATTCCTCAATTCGAACTTTTTGATGCTGATTATTAACGCTGTACAGTTCTGGATTGTCCATTGTTGCTTGCTGATCATTGAATGACTTAAAATTAGGCCTTTTATAACTTTTATTTTGGCAATTTTTGAAAATTTAAATAAAGTTTGAACCTTAAAATTCGCAGACGTTTAGTAACAAATTTGAATAAGGATTGAAGTCAGCTAGTATTCGTAACAAAACGCTTTTTCCATAACCCAATGTAAAAATAATGATCAGTGGTAGCTTGTGGCTACGACTATAATCTTGAGGATGTTTCTAGAATATTTTCCTACGCTTTGTGACTAGTTCAAGCCACTGTGATCCTAATCAAAAGGAGAATATACTGGAATGTACCCTGACCTATATCAAACATTCATAATCTCCAAATAGGATATTCAGGATTCCTCGTGAATCTGAAAAACACAAGTCGATTAATTAAATAGAAACCGGTACCAAGTCGCCGTTACTCTAGCTTCGTGCTAGATTTGAATCGAAGTCTGCATCATGCCAGAGTCATGTCGGTTTGGTGCCAGAATTCTATTCGATTGACCAACTTTAGTTATTCGGGGATCCACTCCCATAAACTATGGAAAACAATAATCACAAAGACAAAATGCTGATTTAATCGCCTTTAAAAAAAGTGATACTCACAAAATAAATTTTATTTCCTGTTTAATTAGCAATTTTTTATGGAAATTAGAAAACTTTAAACTAAAACTTTGCTTGACCTCCTTTTTGGTATTTTATTCTATTAATGTGCGTATAGAGGAAGTGAGTCAGACAACTAATGATTCATGCAATTAGCATCAATTGGAATATTCATTAAAATGACCTATTTAAGGTAACAGAAAATACACCACATTTTACATGCATACTGCCCAACAGTCGATGGAAACCCTCAATAGGTCAGTGGTAGGAGTTTGCGACCATTTGTCTATTGTTTATTTCTACGAGCTTGGAACCTTTAAATTTCTGTGTGAGTTGTGCTAGTGCTTTGCATTTACAAAGGAGATGTTTTGAAGTTACATATTAATGATGAAGATATCCTTTTACTCCACTGGGATTGAATCTAGTCCTATCTGCTGGCTGTTGCAAACTCATTGAGTTGGTATCTACATACTGAGCCATTATCAACTCCAAAATTGCAGTCAAGTCAATAATCTGAGTACTCCGAGTTTCCATTGTTCAGATCATTAGGTTCAGTTCCAATAGCTCATTTCTAGATGTTTTTATTAAGAGAGCTCGAAGTCAAGACGAGTTGAATCCTTATCGACGTCAAGCTCCATAAGGTTTGAGTCAACTGGCCTCGATTTCGAGCTCGATAAGGTTCGAGTCAACTAGCCTCGACTTCAAGCTCAGGGCTTTTTTAACAACAAAAAAAAAATATCAGATTTTAGCCTAGAGACTTGATTCTCTTCCAAGCTTCATAGCAGCTATATACGACTTCCCCGAACAGCACAAGTCGGTTAATGGAATAGAAATCTGGCATCAAGCGAGAACTCAAATCGATTCCAGCACCATACCAGAGTGACGTCAGCTTATAGCCAGATGTCTATTCGATAAACTGACTTGTGCTATTCGGGTTCATGATTCAAACAAAATCCATTATGCTAAAGATTCTCGTGTCACTTATATTCGACATGGACTATAAATAAAATCACCAAAAATTGCAGCATTCAAAATTGCTTATCCAATTATACATCACCCCCTTTTATTCCCTTATGATTGTATACTAAAATGCCTATTTGTTATGTTTTCCTTCTTCTTCTTCTTCATCCAATTCATTTTTCGGGGTCGACAAACAATCAGACGTGTGTGATTTTTTGCGAACGATACGAGATTTTTATATTTTTCGAACCCCTCAAAAACACTTATTTTTTCATCCATCAAATGAATGGTTTAGAGATAGAGTCGAAATATGGAAAGGGAAAAATAAATAATTTTTTTTCTGTACAGATATAATATGTTCGATGTGCTTCTATTTCAAATCATAATAATAATAGGAGTCGAGGAGGAAGAAGACAAAAAAACTACACACATTTTTATTATAGCCAATATGCGGAGTGAGATAAATGAAATTGAAATGAAATGAATGGTGTTAAAATCGAAATATTATACTTTATAAAATGACACCATATGATGTTGATTGGGGGAACTGAAAATATTTGTAAAGAGCATGAATTGTTCAAATATTTAATGATGTGCCGGCGTGTACGTTTGTAAATACACTGAATTGATATTTGATTTGATTAAATGTCAAGGGATGAGAGAGATAAAAACATTTTTTTTGTTGCTCGGCTCTTCTGTTGTCTAAATAAAATAAATGTGGAATTTATGGGGTGTTTAAAGTATTTCAGGAAAAATTTAATAAAATATAAAATTTGAATGCGGTATTTTGTGTGAATTGAATTGAGTATGTCAGGTATTGGAAACTTTATGTGCTGTAGTCGAGGCGTTGTGATCAATATTTTAATTCCTAAACCTCCATTCTTAACTATGGCTTGATTTTTGACATTGCTGATAGTGAAGCATGCGAAGGTCCAGCATTTTTGAGCTTGAGGCACTGGGATTGAAATTAGAACAGAATCTAATGTCCTTCACCCTTTAGACCTACAATTTATTGTGGATTCCGAACTACTTGCAAGCGCTGCACATTGCAGAGACACAAATATGTCTAAAGACCTGATGCACTCTTCTTTGTACCTAGTCACAGTTCATGAGCGCAAGATGCTGTAATGAAATCATGCAGATGCTAGTATATCTAGCAAAAAAGACATGTTATGTGCCAAAGACCTCAAAACTACACACAACACACGAACCGAGCTTCGTAACTAGAACAGTAAAATATAAAAATAGCTTCTAAAACTTGTCCTGGCCTAGGATCGATTCCAGAACCTTACGCACATAAGCCCAACCCTGATAGTAAGCAGTAAGTGTCTTGCTGGTCGAATAGGAAAGGCGCATGACTCAAATTTGGTATGGTAACTTGAAGGTCGTCAGTTCGAATCCAACAATTTCCAAATTTGTTCTTTTTCAGAAGTTTAGATACTTCAACTGCTTAATGTAAGAGATCAAGACATAATTGGGCATTTCGGCAACTTTGGATTAAGGAACAGATCAGCAACTTGAAGTGTAGCAGGAGAAATAGAAACAAGAGCTACAAGATTACCTTATAATGGAATATTGTCAGAACCGACCTGAAATGTATCACGCAACGCCCATAGAAGATTGAAACGAGAGCCTGAATTTAATCGAAACATAGATTTGAAGATTGAAAGCTTGATTCTACATCACCTTTAGTGATATGAAATGTATCACTAATCAGACTTAGCTTGGTTCCAAATTTCTACTCGATTAACCCGTTCTTTACTAGCGTAACATATATGTTACGCCAACTTTTTCGTTAAATTCTCTACAGCAGTTGGTTTTACATTAAAACTTATTAATGATTTACATTTATAGCTAGATCAAGTACCTTTCTTAACATTTCATGTTGCTTAATTATGTAAATTGGAGAAGTTAATTAAACTTTTCTTTTACATGGAAAAATTGGTCATTTTAAAATTCAAAATTTTTACATTTTCTGGCACATTTTTGATCAGAACTGGACAGATTTATAAAGTAAAGCATCTATAGTTATAGTTGAAAACTCATTAATAAAGATAAAGCATAGTTAAATACATTAACTATGTGACGATAATAAATGTAACATATATGTAACGCTAGGAAAATACGATATAAATTGCCCGTTACATATGTGTAACGCTAGTTTTTTGCAAATATTTTAGTGTTTTGGATTTAAAAAATAATTTAATTAATTTAATTAATTTGGCTTTGATTTAAGCCAAATCATTATGTGTACGGCTTAATCATGATAGGAGTGACGTATTTTTTGGCATATATATTAAAATTAGTGCTTCATGGAGGAATTTTTTACATTGGAAAAAAATTTGATTAAAAAATTAGGAGAAAATTTCAAAGTGATTTTTTTATGATTTAGACTGATTTCGCGTGATTCATAGTTCAATGATTAGTAAAATAGAGTGAACATAACAAGTTGGTGAGGTATGAACGCTGAAAAATGTCTCATTTCAAAGATATGACATAAAATAAAAGTGTAAATATTTTTGAGTTATTTTCGTTTTCCTATGAATTAGAGTGTTAAAATTTAAGTCCAATTATGTTAAATAGCATATAATTAATAAAAAAGTATCGCATTATTGACATAAGTTTAGGAAAAAAGTAAAATAAAAGAATTAAAATTTTTGTAAGAAAAAAATTTTTGCTTGCAAAATCCTAGCGTAACATATATGTTACGGAAAAAAATTGTTAATTCTATTAAATCTGTGCATTTATTTGAGCCAAACTCTTCGTCAAACTTATTTTTATACTGTAATTCATCAAATAAATGCACTCTAATGTCCCAAAAAAATTCCGTAATTAACGGGTTAAACAACCTGTGCTTTTCGAGCTCTGAGACAGTCAATAATTCACCAACAAATCAAATTTATTTTTCACTGACGACAAAAACTAATCATGCCAAACCCTGAACTAGCTGATATTCCCATGCCTCTCATTTTTCCCGCGTCTCTTTTTTTACAGCCATACGCATAATCATAACATAAAAACATCATCGTACCGAAAAAAAAGACACACATCACATAGATAGATGAGAGAACGAACGGAATGGAATTAATTAAAATATTTTTGCAGTACTAAATGTCACATAATCCCATTCCATAAAATCAGCTTATAAAATGCCGTTTGAGCTCTTCAAACACAAAATTATATTTAAAATAATTTAAATAATCTTCATTCATTGCCGTCACATTCGTTAGTGGCATGGCAAATGGTAGCTCATACAGCAAAAATTTTCAACTTTACTTCTCCCTGTCATGCTACGTGGTTTCGCATATAATACCGCCTTTTTGCAATTAAAGTTAAAATTTTAATCCCATTAAAAGTAAGTCTAAGATTTTTTTTTTAAATTTCCAAGTCATTCGTCGATGTCAACTTCGTTGGTTGTCTGTAATCTCATTTGTAAAAAGAATTTTTAATATGCACGTAATGAGTTACGAATTATGGAAATGGAAGAGAAATAGAGGAAGGAAATTATTAAGACAGAAAATTAGATTGAATCAGTCAGACTTCATACTTAGAATTGAAAAAAAATTTGTATTCATTCTGAAAAAAAGGCCTATTTATTCAATCGGATTTAATCTTCCATGACTGCAACGTGCCAGGTTAGAATTGTATATACACAAAAAAAAAATGTTCCCGCTGTTATAATTCATGACTGTAGAATTTTTCTTTCGCAGCTATAATTTGCTTGCATGATGTGATTAAATCTTCAGTTTGGATGAGTTGGATAATGATGATTTTAGATTGGGAATGTTGATGTGAAAATTGCTAATTTTTTTGTACAATAATTAAGGAATTTGGGCGTCGTTATATTTGATGATATTCGAAATTTGATGTTTTTGTGTGTAAAGAAGATAATTTACATGTTGATACTTCTTAAAGTTGGGATTTTAGATGAAGGATGCATTTCAGAGGAGTCTTATCTTTATTGATATTAAGTTAACTATTGCCTACCCATTTCTGATTAAAATTTAACGGTCATTTTTCATAAAAGAACAATGGATTTCCAGGAATTTCTATTGTTCTTTTCTTGCTGACCCCAACCCCCTCGAACGTCATAAGTGAACGGCCCCTTAAGGCTTTTTAATTTGTTTTGAACTTAGAAATTGAAATTTTGAACTTCCGTTATTTTTTAAGAACCGTATAATTTCTTGATAATTTGTGAGGTTTTATTAGAATTTGTATGGTTTTGTTCACATACTTTAATTTCTCATTAATTCACTGAATTTTTGACGCTTTTTATTAAAATTATTTTTTTTTACTTGTATTGGAACTTTGACTATGCTCTGGTGTTTAAAAAAGCTATAATATCAATAATAATTACAAACTTTACATCCAAAGTTGTGATCTTAAGAGGGTCGAAATTTTAACCGTTTTGAAATATTTGAATATTTTTTCGATCATCTCAGAGTTTATTGTAAAAATGTGAAAAGTTGAAGTGAAAATAAGTTTATTAATTAATTAAAGAAGTAAAGACTTTAGAGTGCATTAAGTGGCTTAAAATGATAGTTTTAAAGATGAAGAAATGATTGAGACTAAAGAAAGGTAAATAAATAATCAAGAAACTTAAAAAAAAAGCTTCAAAGATTTTTGAAATGAAATTTGACTCGTCTCAGAAAATTAATTACGTTTATATTATGCCTTTAGAAGGAATTAGCATTAAAAGCATCGAATTGATTTCATTGTCAGATGGTAATAATCCTGAAAATATGTTATTTAAGGTTTGAAAACTATTTTTAAAAGATCCAGTAAATACAGAAAATTTTAACATATGCTTTTTAAATGAACTTAAAGCTGGAAAGAGTATGCATTTCTGACATCCTTACCTTTGTCCAATTTATTTCAAACAAACGCTTAGACAGGTAAGATTAAAAAGTAACTGATTTCTGAGACTATTTTGTTGAACTACTGATTAGAATAATTTAAAATTAATATTATGCTCTCAGAATCTGTGAACTACGTAGGATTTAGAATAGTTTCAAGATATTCTTGATAGGAATTAAACATATGTTCCATGGCTGCATAAACCACACTCCTTTTACGTTCCTAATGTATCAATTCAAAGCTGAAACATAAGTTTCACGTTAAAATCTTTGAAATTTCAGACCCAAAAAATTTTATATCAATTTTCATGTTTATTACTGAATTAGAAATTAAATCTGATTATACAGAATGGGAATAAGAACTGGTAAAAAGTTTGAAAATTAATTAAAGAATGATAATAATAAATAAACGAACTTCGCATACTTTACATATTTCTAATCATTTTATTGAGGCCAAACGCATTAATTAACTTCTACGCGAAATAACTAAGTTTGGTTTTTTTTTGCAAAATTAAAACTTTTTTATTGAACTCCAGGGTGTCGAGCTGTATCTTAGCGAATTTGCCAGTGCAAAACAAACGAACTAAACGAAATATCAATAAAAACAATCATTGTTTCTTTCCTGAATCGATTCTCACTATTGGCTTGATCTCTCAATCATTACATAAAATTATATCGAATAAGACAAGGATTCAAACAATTCATTAAAGTGTGCAAAGAACTCTTTTTGTTTTTGTGATTTGTTAAATTCTTTGTTAAGCGCCCTGGAAAAAAAGGAAGCTTAAATTTCTCATTAATTTTTATATCGAATGAATTATTCATATCATTATTTGATTAATTAGGCTATTTCGGACTATAAAACTGTTAAAATTGAGCATTCAATAACAAAATTTAGTAATCTGTTGAAGAGTAAGTAAGTTGTCATTAAAAACTAATCGAAAAAGTTTTTAAGCTAAGTAAGAAAGTGAAGATTTCGTTAAATAATCATGGATAGTCTACATCGTCGTCAAGTGTGCCGCGTTAAAGTGAACCAAGAAGATGAAATTGTGATTTCGGGTATTTCTGGAAGATTTCCAAAGTCGCACAATGTTGCTGAGCTTAGCCACAACTTATTCAATAAGATCGACATGCTTGAATCCAGCAAATCAAGATTTAAATATTTTAATGGAGAGACTCCAGATCGAAATGGATTTACTTATGATCTTGACAAGTTTGATGCAACTTTTTTCTCTCTTAATAATCGCGCTGCTTCATTTACGGATCCACAACAAAGAATGCTTCAAGAACATGCGTATGAAGCAATATTAGATGCTGGATTGTGTCCAAAACAACTTCGTGGAAGTAGAACTGGTGTTTTTATTGGATGTTGTTCGGTTGAAGCTGATAAATACGTTCTTTATAATGACATGGTAAAAGATGGCACCGGAATGAATGGATCAGCAAGAGCTTTGTTAGCCAATCGCATTTCGTTTTCTTTGGACCTTATAGGGCCATCGGTGATGCTTGATACAGCTTGTAGTAGTACTGGCTATGCTTTAGATTTTGCATTTAATGCTATTCGTATTGGCGAATGTGAAGCTGCAATTGTCGGAGGAACTAATATTATTATTGATGAGTCATCATCAGTTCACTTTGCTAGGTAAGATTTAACATTATAGCTGGAAAATAAATCGTACTTGTTGTAAAAGTAAAGGTAAAACACCTTTGAATAATGCTTTTTTTAAAAAAAAAAATAGATTAGGAGTATTAGCTATGGACGGAAACTGTTTACCACTTGACGAAAAAGCACATGGCTTTGTTCGATCTGAGTCAGTCAGCACGTTGTTTTTGCAAAAAAGGAAAGACGCTAAACGAATTTATGCAACGGTTGTGCATTCTAAAACAAATGTGGATGGTTTTAAAAACGAAGGACTATCATTTCCTTCAGCAAAACACCAAGCTAAATTATTTGAAGAACTTTATCAAGAAATCGGAATTCATCCAAAAACTGTTGATTACGTTGAGTGTCATGCCACAGGAACAAGAGTTGGAGATCCACAAGAATGTATGTCGATTGACCAAGTGTATTGTACTGATCGTACAAAGCCACTTTTAATTGGAACACTGAAATCAAATATGGGTCATACGGAAGCTGCTTCATCGAATACTTCAGTAATAAAATCAATTTTGATTTTTGAGAACGGAAAAATTCCACCAATGATAAACTTAACTAAAATTCGACAAGACATTCCATCACTTGTTGCTGGACGACTGAAGCCAGTTACTGAAACACTCGATTTTGACGGAAACTTGATTGCTCTTAATAGTTTTGGTTTTGGTGGCGCGAATTCTCACATTTTATTAAGAAAACATCCAAAAGATAAAGTTAATTGCGGGATTCCAAATGATAATATTCCAAGATTATTAGTTTGGTCTGGCAGAACAGAAGAAGCATTAAATACAATTTTTGATAGTGTTACAAAGCAACCACTCGATGCTGAATACATTGCACTTCTTCAAAATACACAAGTTTCAACTCAATCGTCTAATACTTATCGTGGATATGCACTGTTTACACAAGATCCTGAATCTTCCAATGCAACTTGCATTGAACGTCATATTGAAAATTTTGCTGAAGAAAAAAGACCTATAGTTTGGGTATTTAGTGGTATGGGTTCTCAATGGCCAGGTATGGGTGCTGATTTGATGAAGATTCCAATTTTTGAGAGTTCCATCAAGAGATGTCATGACATCTTAGCCAAGAAAGGAGTAGACTTGATCAAAATCATTACATCAGATGATCCAACAATTTTTGACAATATCCTGCATTCATTCGTTGGCATATCAGCAGTTCAACTTGCTTTGACGAATGTTTTGAAAACTGTTGGACTTGAACCAGATTATATCATTGGACATTCATTTGGTGAACTTGGATGTGCATATGCAGATAATTGCTTAACGGAAGAGGAAATGATTCTATCTTCATACTATCGTGGACTTGTTTCTATCCAAAATAAAAATAAAACAATTTTTGGATCAATGGCTGTCGTTGAAGTTGGATATCAGCAAATAAAATCAATGCTTGATGATGGAATCCACGTTGCTTGTCACAATAGTGCGGATTCTTGTACGATTTCAGGACCAGCGGAAATTGTAGCTCAATTTGTCGAAAAACTAAAGATACAAAATATTTTTGCAAAGGAACTTCAATGTTCAAATATTGCTTACCACAGCCCATATATTAATGAATTTGGTCCAAAATTAGAAAATGTTTTAAAATCGATTATTCCAAATCCAAAACAACGATCAGAGAAGTGGATTTCTACAAGTGTACCAAAGAATGAGTGGAACTCGGTTGAAAGCAAATATTCATCAGCTCAATACCATACAAATAATTTATTGAATCCAGTACTGTTCGAAGAAAATTGTGAAAATCTTCCGAAAAATGCTCTTACTATTGAAATTGCACCTTATGGTCTGTTACAAGCAATGATGAAGCGAAATTTACATAATGGTATGCATTTTAGTCTGACTAAACGTGACAGTAGTGAAAGTTCAATACTACTTTTTTGCACACTCGGTAAGTTATTTAAAAATGGCGTTGACTTGGACTTACGCAAACTTTATCCAACAATTGAATTTCCTGTATCAAGAGGAACTCCAATGATTGCACCATCAGTAAAATGGAATCATGATGAAACATATTTTGTTTCATCATATAATGAACAAGCTTGTAATGAGAAAGTTTATGATTTATCAGAACCAGAGTTTGACTTCATCTCAGGACATGAAATCGATGAACGTTTATTGTTTCCAGCAACAGGATATTTGTATTTGGCATGGAAAACTCTTGCAGCTCAGTCAAGGGAGAATTTTGCAACTTTTGATGTTGAATTTGAAGATCTCGCGTTTATTCGAGCATGTCAAATTCAGAAGGACAAAGTACAAAAATTAACTGTTGTAGTGCTGCCAGAAACTGGTCAATTTCAAGTTAGCGAAAATAATACAAAGCTTGTTACCGGAATCGTTCGTCCGTGTAGCAATTGTAAATTAACTGAAATTGAAGTTGAAACAAAAAATAATATTTTAGAATTAGAGTCTGCAGATCTTTACAAGGAACTTCGGCTAAGAGGTTATCGATACAAAAACTTGCTTAGGTCAGTTGTATCAGCTAAAATGGACAGTTCTAGTGGAAAAGTTAAATGGCAATCAAATTGGGTTGCGTTCCTTGATTGTTTACTTCAAGTCCAAGTTCTTTCAAAGGAAACAAGGACACTAGCACTTCCAATAAGCATTAAAAAAATTATTATTAAAAAGAATGAACATGAGAAATTAATGTCAGAGCTTGGTGAAAATCCAATTGTTGAAGTAAAACACTGCTTTGATTTAAATATTACTCGTTGCGGAGGCGTTGAAATAAGTGGTCTAATGGTACGAAATGTTGGAAGACGACCACCAAAAGGAATTCCAGTACTTGAAGGGCATGCATTTGTCTCTCACTTTCCAACTCCATGCTTTTCTAAAATTGATGTTGGAAGATTTTGTGTGGAATTGGCACTCGAAAACGATATTGCTAAAAACGTATCATGTGTTGAGATTGACATGAACGATGATAGAGAACCATTGTGTGAATATTTTGGACAGGCATTGAATGATGTTCCACTTGTTATAGGAGAATTAAACTATTTGACATCCAAAGATATTGAAATCTTTCAAACAACTGTCTCAAATTTAGAATTGTCAACATTCAGCAACCAAACATTTATAATTAAATCAAATTGTATGTTTGATGCTGATTTCTTAGAGAATGTGAAGAAATACATTAGTGAAAATTCCTACATCATTTCTAGGGAATCAAAGGATCGTGAAATTTATCATGATTTTGAAGGATGTGAAGGTTATAAAATAGTTGCTATCATTCCAACTGAAACTGAGACTGTAGTAATGATGAATTACAAAAAAGTCCCGAATCCATGTCCAACATCAATAATCAAAATTACAAATGCCGATCAAAGTTATTCATGGCTTGATATTTTGAAGAAAACAGCAAAAACGGAACCGACATTAGTTTATTCTGAAAATGAAAGTCAATCAGGAATTTTGGGACTTGTTAATTGTATCAGAAAGGAACCAAGTGGACATAATTTACGTTGTGTATTCATCGATGATAAATCAGCACCGCCATTTGATATTAACGATCCATTTTACAAAGCACAGCTTAACAAAGGTTTAGCAATTAATGTTTATAGAAATGATAAATGGGGAAGCTATAAACACTTTTTAATCAAACCTAATTATGAAAAAATGCAACACGAAGATTCTTACTTTTTAAACAGTTTGGTTAAAGGAGATCTCTCTTCTATCAAATGGCTTCAAAGTCCAATCAAGAATGATTCTGACAATATTGTAAAGGTTCAATATGCTGCATTAAATTTCAAAGATGTCATGGGTGCAACAGGAAAATTGTCAGAAGATGCAGAGTGTAAAAATAGAACGGATTCAATATTTTTTATAGGAATTGAATTTGCTGGCATAACAAAAGAAGGATGTCGTACTATGGGAATGAAATTAGCTGGTGGTCTAGCAACACATGTTAATATAAATGAAGCAGTATCATGGGAAGTTCCTGATCATTGGACATTGGAAGAAGCTGTTACTGTTCCATGTGTTTATAGTACTGTTTATGCTGCCTTCTTTATTTCCATCCAAATCGAGAGAGGAAAATCTATTTTAATTCATTCAGGTACAGGTGGGGTAGGATTGGCAGCTATTCAAGTGGCATTTGCTTATGGTTTGGAAGTATTTACAACAGTTAGTACAGAAGAGAAGAAAAACTACTTGTTGAATGAGTTTCCTGAATTAAAAAGCGAAAATATTGGAAATTCTCGTGATACATCATTTGAAAATATGATCAAGAAACGGACTCGAGGCAAAGGAGTTGATTATGTCCTGAATTCTTTATCTGAAGAAAAGTTAGCAGCATCTGTTCGTTGTTTAGGCAAACGTGGAAAGTTTCTGGAAATTGGAAAATTTGATATAGCCAATGACAATAAATTAAGCCTTGGAGACTTCTTAAAAGAACTTTCATTCCACACTATTTTTATTGATAACATAGTTAAGGGAACAAAGGAAGAACAATTATTTTTAAAAAATCTTTTGGACGATGGCATTAGACGAGGAATAATTAAGCCATTGAAAACAACTGTATTTAATGCCGATAAAGTTGAAGATGCATTCAGACTTTTAGCAAGTGGCAAACATATTGGAAAAGTTGTTCTTAAAATTCGTGAGAACGAATCCGACGATGCAACATTACCAATCTCAGTTATACCAAGAGTTTATTGCAATCCAGAACATTCTTACATTATTTGTGGAGGTTTGGGAGGTTTCGGTTTGGAACTTGCTGACTGGTTGATCATTAAAGGTTGCAAAAATTTAATACTGAGTACAAGCCGAGGAATAACAAAACAATATCAAGCATATCGAATTAAAACATGGGAAACTTATGGCATTCACGTACAGGTTAATAAGTCAGACATTACCACAAGACAAGGATGTGAACAATTGATTGATGATGCTCTTAAGCTTGGCACAGTTGGAGGAATTTTCAATTTAGCACTTCAATTGCGAGATGGTATTTTGGAAAATCAAACAGTCACCTCTTTTGATGAATGTATGGCACCAAAGGCATATGCAACTAAATATTTGGATGAAATCTCTAGAACAAAGTGTCCATCTTTGCAGTATTTTGTAATTTTCTCAAGCGTTGCTTGTGGACGTGGAAATGCAGGTCAAAGTAACTATGGTATGGCTAACTCTGTAATGGAAAGATTGATGGAGGAACGACACAATTTAGGATTACCAGCAAAAGCAATTCAGTGGGGTGCGATAGGAGAAGTTGGAATAGTTGCTGAGTTGCAAGAAGACAATATTGAAATGGAAATTGGAGGAACTTTGCTTCAAAGAATATCTTCTTGTATAGACGAACTTGACACTTTGATGACTGCTAAAAGTACAGTCGTTTCAAGCATGGTTGTTGCGGAAAAAAGAGTCAAAAGGTCTGGTAAAGGTGGAGTCATTAATATGCTCATGAACATTATGTCAATAAAGGATATGAAATCAGTTTCGATGGAAACAAAACTCTCAGAACTGGGCATGGATTCATTAATGACAGTTGAAATTTCTCAAACTTTACAACGCGATTTTAACATTGTATTGACATCACAGCAACTACGATCAATGACTGTGGGACAGTTAAAAGCACTTGAATGGTGCAATGCAGATGAAACTCAAGAAAAAGCTAAGATTAATTTGGAACTTTTGATAAAAAATTTAGGAGATGAAAGGACAAGTCACTTAACTATTTTGAAGTTTAATGAAAAATTAGAAGAAAACAATACGAAAGCATTAATAATCCCTGGAATTGAAGGTACATCTTGAAAATTTTATGAACCTAAGCAAAAGGATTTAATTTAAGTTTTTTAAACTTTTAGGTATTGGTGGAAAAATGTTCTCCGATTTGGGAAAGAAAACTAAATACCCAACTTATGTACTGCAATGCATGAATATTTACAATATTAGTAACATCAATGATATGTGTGACGCTTTAATTGAGGTAAATTTGTCTATGTAATTCAAATAAATTTTTATATTATTGAATTTTAATTAGGATGTCGCAGCACTGTATGCAAATGACTCAACATTCCTGTTTATTGGATATTCTTATGGATCAATATTAACTTTGAAATTGGCAAAAATGCTTGAAGATTTAGGGAAAACTGGCAAAGTCATCATTATTGATGGCTCTCCTGGTTTGTCAAAAAAATTGATCACTAACATGATTTCAGTATCAGAAAATGTAGATAAAACAATTGAAACACTTTCAATGGATCTAAGCTTAAAGTATGCTTTCCCAAATGATGTTAGTAACCGTAAAAAATTTGTCCTAGCTGAGTCTACCTGGGATGCAAAATTGTTGAAATTAGATGAGATTTATTTGGATTTTGAAGTCTATTCGAAAAAATTCATCTCAAAAGCTGCAACACTTGTAAAGAATCGTTTAACAGCAGGATATTATTTATCTTTGGATGACTTTGCGACCATAAAGTCACCGATAAAATTAGTGAAACCAACTGAAGCACTAGTTTTTAATGAAGAACATGATTTTGGCTTAAATAAATTTTCAGACAGTGAAATTGAAGTGATAATTCTTGAAGGAAATCACACAACAATCTTAGAACATCCGGATGTTTTTAAAATTATTAATTCTTCTTTCTAAATTAATTTCTAGTTTTGAATGGGTTTTTTAAATGGTTTTATTAAAAGTTTGAGCTTTTAATTAAGGGTCATGGAATAATTAATAAAAAACTATTTATAAATTGAACTATATTTTATAAAAAAAAAGAATTAAAAATTTGAACAAATAAAAAACACTGAAATTATTTTATTGTACATCATTTATGCCAATCTCAAACATTATAATTAAAATTTAAAAGGATATTGATAATTATAAGGTTTAAGATGGCTAAACTTGATTTATAAAATGAAGAATAAATCAATTTTTCCGCATCAAGCAGGGAACTTTGTAATTTTGTATGGTAATTTACCGACCTAACATTACCAATTTAAGTTATACTAAGACTTAATAGCAATCAAACAAGTTTTCTGCAAACCAATTGTGAAACTTACTGAACTTTATTCTATAAAAATATTGCCTGTCTCAGCAATGTGTCAACCATCGTCAGCTATCCTTATATTTAAATTCATAAACAACTCCGCGAAACTAAATATTCCACTCCAATATGCAAACCACAAGAAATAATAATAATTTCGTTATTCAAGGAACGAACACCCAACTTGTCTTTCAAAATTTGTTTATCAGAGCCTTTGAAGATTTAAATAGGATTCCAGCCAAAATTAAGAAGTTTGTTAGCATTAATTTATTCAAAAATAATTTAAAAGAACATCTATTTTTAAAACATTTATTGTTTGATATGTACAATTATAGTACTTAAGCTTCTTTTTTACATATTATATTTTTTTATTTATAGTTTATGCTAAAATGTAATAAAATGAATCAATAATGTAAAAAAACGACTTACGTAGAAAGCCACGAACTTGCACGCTTGACTTACGTTAGATAACATAAAAGTTGCCGAATTTCTCGTAAAATGAGTAAATGGAGATCGAAAAATGATAATTTTCGAGAATATTACCTTACAGTATCGTTCCAATTTTAGTATATGTCCTGCCGAGGCAGGACCCCTGCGCAAAGATGACACGCAAAATCGTGAAGCGTTCCTCATTTTTGGAGGATTGGGAAAGCCGAAGTCTGACTCCGAAGCTGACCAATGGTCAAGTGTATACCTTCTCGTGGTATCCTCTGATACCGCTAAATACACCGCTGGCGACCGAGCCCTGTGCCGGAATATGTACTTGAAAGGATAGATTAAAAGCCTATCCAACAAACAACCTCGCCTGGAGGGTGGCAGCCCCACAATCAGGCTAGGAATGGTAAGATTTACAACCTATCATTTCCGAAATCAACTTGTACAAAGAATGCAACAAAAGGTAAACAGGACCTTACAGTGCTATGTGTTTCGTCAAAAAAAATTTTAAGATGAGAGATCTGATAAAATATCACATCTTTACCACGTTGACAGATGCTTTCAATGTCTGTGAAAGGATACTTTTGATGGGAGTCTTAGCTATAGAAAGGGGAGTGGACGAGCTGTGCGAAACGGAGCGAAGTGGAATGGAGCGGAGTGGAGTGGAGCACAAAGGTACTGGTACTGGATTTAAATCGAAGCAATAAATGATTGTATCAAAATGATGAGAACTTGCATTTGAAATCATCACACACACATTTTTACTGCTTCCATTGAATGTTCCTGTTTATGTATAAATCGTTCAATCTCTTCATCTTTTTTAGATTAATTTTTTAAAAATATATTTTTCGGTGCTGCTCGTAAAATAATGAAGTAGAGATAAAACTGGTTAAGATGTTAAGTAGATCGGATTTGAGTGAAATTTCAGACATTGTTATAAATGCTACTTTTCTAAACTTTTTTGGTTTTTTTTTGCAAAAATGCGCACAAAATTAGTTAAAATAAATTCGGAATGCATGAAAGTTTTAGTGGGTCAAACGAATTACATATATTAATTTTCCCTAAATTAGGCTAGTGTTGTCTGTGTTCGTGAAATAATTTGCATTTCTTCCAAGCTATATTTCGACGTGGCTTTAAATTTGATTTGAAAATTTAGATTTATGGGCAAATCCATGAATAAACGTTACTGCGAAAATCGACTAAGAATTCTTCTCAACTTGATTTAAGACCTTGACATCTAAAAATTTTTACTTGAATGTTTCGGTTCCTTTAAATTTGACTTTTTCAATTTCGTTTGTGATGTACTTGGAAATTTCATCACAGTAAACATTTTTGGGTTTTTTTTTCTTAGCTTCTTTTTTGTTCTGTACCCCCCCCCCCCCCCCCCCCCCCCCCCTGGTTAAAACCAAAAAACAATTTACATATTTTAGATTTAAGTTGGCTAATGATCTAATTTAAGGCTTAATAGAAAGAACACATAATTAAAGCTAAGAAGAGCGAAAATCTAATGTATATCTTTTCTCGACGGTAAAATGCGTATTTAACTAGAAAATGGAAAAAGTGTAAAATTCAATTTTTGTAGAGTTAACAATCAGACGCTCTCCAAATTGAAATAACTCATTAATTAAAGCACATAGAAAGCTGAATTATCGAAAAAAAAAAAATTAAAATTAAGTTTTTCTATCATATTGAGTTTCAAAGCACAAAGTAAATCAAGCCGTTTTTGAGAAATTTGCAAAAGATTTGGTTTTTTGTAGAAAAATTCTTTCGTGGATTTGCCCTTATACTAAAACAATTTGTTGTACTAATAAATTATTTATATTGTGAATTAAAACATTAGAATATTGTGGACTTTATAAATGAGTGAATTTGGGTAAAAAATAACAAAATTTATCCACCAGTTGAAGATAAAAGTAATCGTAGGATAGTTTTTAAAAATTTAACTAATAAAGTGCTAATTCAAAAATCATGACAAGTTTCAATTGTCGTCAAGTGTGTCGCGTCAACGTGGACCCAGAAGACGATATTGTGATTTCGGGTATTTCAGGAAGATTTCCAAAGTCGCACAATGTTGCTGAGCTGAGTCATAACTTGTTTAATAAGATTGACATGATTGATTCCTGTGAAACAAGATTTAAATATTTTAATGGCGAAACTCCGGATCGTATTGGATTTACTTACGATCTTGATAAGTTTGATGCACATTTTTTCTCAGTTAAAAATCGCTTTGCTATGTATACGGATCCACAACAAAGAATGCTTCAAGAACATGCTTATGAAGCAATGATTGATGCTGGAATGTGTCCAAAACATTTTCGTGGAAGTAAAACTGGCGTTTTTGTTGGTTGTTGTACAGTTGAGGCTGATGATTACTTATTTTTTAATGAAGTTTCAAAAGAGAGCTTGGGAATGCTTGGATCAGCTCGTTCTCTGCTAGCGAATCGTATTTCGTTTTCTTTGGACCTTAAAGGCCCATCACTAATGGTTGATACAGCTTGCAGTAGCTCTGGTTATGCCTTAAATTTGGCATATAAAGCTATTCGTAATGGCGAATGTGAAGCAGCAATTGTCGGCGGAGCTAATATTATTATTGATGAATCTGTAACAGCTCAATTTGCTAGGTGATATTTTTATAACATTCTTTTGTGTTAAAAAAGTGTTTTTATAAACTAGTGCACTTTTAAACGTGCCGTAACCAAATTATTTAGAATAATCTAAAACATTTTAGAAACACAAATCTAAATTTTTTATTTTTTAATTCCAGATCGGGATTATTAGCTATGGACGGATTTTGCCGTCCCTTCGATGACAATGCTCATGGTTTTGTTCGATCAGAGTCTGTCAACACACTGTTTTTGCAAAAAAGAAAGGATGCAAAAAGAGTTTATGCAACGGTGGTCCATTCAAAAACAAATGTGGATGGTTTTAAAAACGAAGGCTTGTCATTTCCATCAGCAACATTTCAAGCTAAATTATTTGAAGAGCTTTATCAAGAAATCGGAATTAATCCAAACACTGTTGATTATGTTGAATGTCACGGCACAGGAACAAGAGTTGGAGATCCACAAGAGTGCATGTCAATTGACCAAGTGTTTTGTGCTGATCGAACAAAGCCACTTTTAGTTGGATCTATGAAATCAAACATGGGTCATACAGAAGCTGCTTCATCGAATTCTTCTGTTATAAAATCCATTTTGATTTTTGAGAACGGCAAAATTCCACCAGTGCTTCATTTTACAAAAGTTCGACAAGATATCCCATCATTAGTTGCTGGACGACTTAAACCAGTTTCTGAAATTCAAGATTTTGAAGGAAGCTTGATTGGTATCAATAGTTTTGGTTTCGGTGGTGCGAATTCTCATATTTTGTTGAAAAAACACTCAAAGGATAAAGTTAATAATGGAATTGCAACTGATAACATTCCACGATTATTAGTTTGGTCTGGAAGAACAGAAGAAGCATTAAATACAATTTTCGATAGTGTTACAAAGCAACCACTCGATGCTGAATATATTGCACTTCTTCAAAATACACAAGTTTCAACTCAATCGTCTAATACTTATCGTGGATATGCTCTGTTTTCACAAGATCCTGAATCTTCAAATGCAACTTGCATTGAACGTCATATTGAAAATTTTGCTGAAGAAAGAAGACCTATAGTTTGGGTATTTAGTGGAATGGGATCTCAATGGCCAGGTATGGGTGCTGATTTGATGAAAATTCCAATTTTTGAGAGTTCTATCAAGAGATGTCATGACATCTTAGCCAAGAAAGGAGTAGACTTGATCAAAATCATTACATCAGATGATCCAACAATTTTTGACAATATCTTGCATTCATTCGTTGGCATATCAGCAGTTCAACTTGCTTTGACGAATGTTTTGAAAGCTGTTGGACTTGAACCAGATTATATTGTTGGACATTCATTTGGTGAACTTGGATGTGCATATGCAGATAATTGCTTAACGGAAGAGGAAATGATTCTATCTTCATACTATCGTGGACTTGTTTCTATCCAAAATAAAAATAAAACAATTTTTGGATCAATGGCTGTTGTTGAAGTTGGATATCAGCAAATAAAATCAATGCTTGATGATGGAATCCATGTTGCTTGTCACAATAGTGGGGATTCTTGTACGATTTCAGGACCAGCTGAAATTGTAGCTCAATTTGTCGAAAAACTAAAGATACAAAATATTTTTGCAAAGGAACTTCAATGTTCAAATATTGCTTACCACAGTCCATATATTAATGAATTTGGTCCAAAATTAGAAAATGTTTTAAAATCGATTATTCCAAATCCAAAACAACGATCAGACAAGTGGATTTCTACAAGTGTACCAAAGAATGAGTGGAACTCGGTTGAAAGCAAATATTCTTCAGCTCAATACCATACAAATAATTTATTGAATCCAGTACTGTTCGAAGAAAATTGTGAGCATCTTCCGAAAAACCCAATTATTATTGAAATTGCACCTTATGGCTTGTTGCAGGCGATTATTAAGAGAAACTTATCTGACAATATTTATTTTAGTTTGACAAAGCGTGAGAGTTGTGAAGGATCAATGTTACTTTATAGAACCCTTGGAAATTTATTTGAAAATGGAGTTGACTTAGATTTGAGCAAACTTTATCCAACAATTGAATTTCCTGTATCAAGAGGAACTCCAATGATTGCACCATCAATAAAATGGAATCATGCTGAATCATATTACACTACAAAATATGACAGTAGAACTTTCAATGAAAAAGTTTTTAATTTGTCTGATACAGAGTTTGAATTCATCTCAGGACATGAGATCGATGGACGTATTCTATTTCCAGCTACAGGGTATATGTATTTGGCATGGAAAACTCTCGCAGCTCAGTTAAGGGAAAATTTTGAAACTTTTGATGTCGAGTTTGAAGATATCAAATTCATTCAAGCATGTCAAGTTCAGAAGGATTGCGACCAAAAATTGACAGTTTTTGTGCTGCCAGAAACTGGTCATTTCCAAATAAGTGAAAATAATTTAACACTTGTTACTGGAATCGTTCGTCCTTGTGATAATTCTAAAAAATTAACTGAAATTGAAACAGAAGAATCAAAAGATGAAGTTGTGGAACTTGAGTCTGCAGATGTCTATAAGGAACTTCGTCTAAGAGGCGCTATCTATAAAAACATATTTAGATCAGTTATTTCAGCTAAAATGGACAGTTCAAGAGGAAAAATTAAATGGCAATCAAATTGGATTGCATTTCTTGATTGTATACTTCAAGTTCGAATTGTGTCAAAGGATACAAGGTCACTTGAAGTTCCTATTGCTATTAAAAAAGTGATCATTAAAAAAAATGAACACGAGAAATTAATGTCAGAGCTTGGTGAAAATCCAATTGTTGAAGTAAAATACTGTCCAAATATGAAAATCCTAAGATGTGGTGGTGTCGAATTTGGTGGTCTAATGCCACAATCTATTGGAAGACGTCCTTTAAAAGGAATTCCAGTACTTGAAAGTTATCAATTTGTACCTCACTTTCCAACTCCGTGCTTTTCTAAAATTGACATTGGACGCTTTTGTGTGGAATTGGCACTCGAAAACGATATTGCTAAAAACGTAACATGTGTTGAGATTGACATGAACGATGATAGAGAACCATTGTGTGAATATTTTGGACAGGCATTGAATGATGTTCCTCTTGTGACGGGAGAATTAAACTATTTGACATCCAAAGATATTGAAATCTTTCAAACAACTGTCTCAAATTCAGAATTGTCAACATTCAGCAACCAAACATTTATAATTAAATCAAATTGTATGTTTGATGCTGATTTCTTAGAGAATGTGAAGAAATACATTAGTGAAAATTCCTACATCATTTCTAGGGAATCAAAGGATCGTGAAATTTATCATGATTTTGAAGGATGTGAAGGTTATAAAATAGTTGCTATCATTCCAACTGAAACGGAGACTGTAGTAATGATGAATTACAAAAAGGTCCCGCATCCATGTCCAACATCAATAATCAAAATTACAAATACCGATCAAAGTTATTCATGGCTTGATATTTTAAAGAAAACAGCAAAAACGGAACCGACATTAGTTTATTCTGAAAATGAAAGCCAATCAGGAATTTTGGGACTCGTTAATTGTATCAGAAAGGAACCAAGTGGACATAATTTACGTTGTGTATTCATCGATGATAAATCAGCACCGCCATTTGATATTAACGATCCATTTTACAAAGCACAGCTTAACAAACGTTTAGCTAAAAACATTTTTCGAAATGGAAAATGGGGAAGCTATAAACACTTCCTGGTTAAACCTATCTATGAAGCATTACGACATGAAGGTTATTGTTATGTAAACAGTTTAATTAGAGGTGATCTCTCTTCTATCAAATGGCTTCAAAGTCCAATCAAGAATGATTCTGACAATATTGTAAAGGTTCAATATGCTGCATTAAACTTTAAAGATATCATGTTGGCTACAGGAAAATTATCAGCTGACACAGTGAGTGAGAATAGAATGGAATTAATGTGTATAATGGGAATGGAATTTTCTGGCATAACAAAAGAAGGACGTCGTGTTATAGGAGTAAAACCTGCTGGTGCAATGGCAACTCATGTTGAAGTAGATGAATTGATGTCATGGGAAGTTCCTGATCATTGGACACTTGAAGAAGCTGTTACTGTTCCAATTGTCTATGGTACTGTTTATACAGCATTTTTCATCACAACCAAAATCAAGAAGGGAAAATCAATTTTGATTCATGCTGGCTCAGGCGGGATTGGATTGGCAGCTATTCGAGTAGCATTTGCTTATGGCTTGGAAGTTTTTACAACAGTTAGTACAGAAGAGAAGAAAAACTACTTGTTGAATGAGTTCCCTGAACTAAAACGAGAAAATATTGGAAATTCCCGTGATACATCGTTTGAAGGTATGATCATGAAACAGACTCGAGGTAACGGAGTTGATTATGTGCTGAATTCTTTATCTGAAGAAAAGTTAGCAGCATCTGTTCGCTGTTTAGGTAGAGGTGGAAAGTTCCTGGAAATTGGTAAATTTGATATGGCCAATGACAATAAGTTAAGTCTTGGTGACTTCTTGAGAGAACTTTCTTTCCATGCTATTTTTCTCGATCGCATATTTAAAGCATCATATGATGAAAAAAAGACTATAAGTGAACTTTTTTACGAGGGCATGTGTAAAGGAATAATTAAGCCATTGAAAACAAGTGTATTTAATATCGATAAAGTTGAAGATGCATTCAGACTCTTAGCAAGTGGCAAACACATTGGAAAAGTTGTTCTTAAAATTCGTGAGAACGAATCCGACAATGCAACATTACCAATCTCAGTTATACCAAGAGTTTATTGCAATCCAGAACATTCTTACATTATTTGTGGTGGTTTAGGAGGTTTTGGTTTAGAACTTGCTGACTGGTTGGTTTTGAGAGGTTGCAAAAATTTAATTTTGAGTACAAGCCGAGGAATAACAAAACAATATCAAGCATTTCGAATTAAAATATGGGAAACTTATGGAGTCCACGTGCAGGTTAATAAGTCAGACATTACCACAAGACAAGGATGTGAACAATTGATTGATGATGCTCTTAAGCTTGGCACAGTTGGAGGAATTTTCAATTTAGCACTTCAATTGCGAGATGGTATTCTGGAAAATCAAACAGTCACCTCTTTTGATGAATGTATGGCACCAAAGGCTTATGCAACTAAATATTTGGATGAAATCTCAAGAACCAAGTGCCCATCATTGCAGTATTTTGTAATTTTCTCAAGCGTTGCTTGTGGACGTGGAAATGCAGGTCAAAGCAACTATGGTATGGCTAACTCTGTGATGGAAAGATTGATGGAGGAACGACACAATTTAGGATTACCAGCAAAAGCAATTCAGTGGGGTGCGATAGGAGAAGTTGGAATAGTTGCGGACCTTCAAGAAGATAATATTGATATGGAAATTGGAGGAACTTTAGTTCAGAGGATATCTTCTTGTATATATGAACTCGACACTTTGATGACTGAAGAAAAGACAGTTGTCTCAAGCATGGTTGTAGCTGAAAAAACAGTTCAAAGGTCTGGAAAAGGTGGCGTTATTGAAATGCTTAAGAATATCATGTCAATAAAGGATATGAAATCAGTTTCGATGGAAACAAAACTTTCAGAACTTGGCATGGATTCATTAATGACGGTCGAAATTTCTCAAACTTTAGAACGAGACTTTAACATTGTGTTGACAGTACCGCAACTACGATCTTTGACAGTAGGACAATTAAAAGCGCTTGAAAATAGTGATACAGATGCAGTTCCAAAAACGGGACAAATTAATTTAGAATTTTTTGTTAAGAATTTAGGAGATGAAAGTACAAGCCACCTGACCATACTAAAGGTTAATGATCAGTTAGAAGAAAGCAATACGAAAGCATTAATATTCCCTGGAATTGAAGGTACATTTGGAAATGTTTTAAACCTATGCAAAAGGAATTAATACAGGTTTTCATCCTTTTAGGTGTTGGTGGAAAATTGCTCAAAGATTTCGCAAAACAAACAAAATATCCAACTTATTTACTCCAATGCCTAAATATTTCGAATATTAATAACTTTAATGAGATGCGCGATGCTTTAATTGAGGTAAATTGATGCATATAACTTTTAACCATTTATAATAACGAATTTTATTTAGGATGTTGCTAAATTGTACGCAAATGACTCAACATTCCTATTTATTGGATACTCTTATGGATCAATATTAACTTTGAAATTGGCAAAAATGCTTGAAGATTTAGGAAAAACTGGCAAAGTCATCATTATTGATGGCTCTCCTAGTTTGTCAAAGAAAATGCTCAACGCGATAAAGCCCGAATCAGAAATTGACGATCAAATGATTGAAACACTTGCTATGGATTCAAGTTTAAAGTATGCTTTCCCAAATGATACTAGTAACCGTAGAAAACAAGTTCTAGATGAGCCTACTTGGGATGCAAAATTGAAGAAGTTAAATGAGATTTATTTGGATTTTGAAATCTATTCCAAAGAATTTTTCTCAAAAGCTACAACACTTGTAAAGAATCGTATAACAGCAGGATATTATTTATCTTTAGATGACTTTGCGATCATAAAGTCACCGATAAAATTAGTGAAACCAACTGAAGCACTAGTTTTTAACGAAGAACATGATTTTGGATTAAATAAATTTTCAGACAGTGAAATTGAAGTGACAATTCTTGAAGGAAATCACACAACAATCTTAGAACATCCGGATGTTTTTAAAATCATTAATTCTTCTTTTTAAATTAATTTTGAGTTTTTTTGGTTTTTTAAATGGTTTTATTAAAAGTTTAAGCTTTTAATTAAGGGTCATGGAATAATTATTAAAAAACTATTTATAAAATGGACTATATGTAAGGGGCCATTCACTTATTACGTAACGCTTTTAGGGGGGGAGGGGGGTCTAAGATTTTGTTACGGTTCAAACAAGGAAATTTTTTTTTCATACAAATTTTGTTACGAGGGGGGGGGGTCTAAAAAGTCATTTTTTCGCGTTACGTAATAAGTGAACAGCCCCTAATACAAAAAAAAATAAAAATTTGAACAGATAATATACTTTATAAAAAACTTTTTAAAAAAGCACGTTGTTCCCGTGGACTAAAAAGTAGAAAATAACGTATTTTCTTGGTTGTATAGAAATTGGTTTTAAATTTTCAGATTATATTTGATAAAATTTTATACCCTAGTCAATATCGTTCACACAAATCCTAGTTGACAATACCTCAGTCAGAATAGTGTTAACAAAATACTCTATGATAAACTTAACTTAATGCGCCCACGTTTTTAGGTGTTGAGTTATACGATAATATCAAGTTGTATTTATTCAAAATTGTGTTAACGATATTGACTTGGGTATAAAGTTTTATAAAATATAATCTGAAAATTTAAAACCAATTTCTATACAACCCAGAAAAAAAGTTATTTTCTACTTTTTAGTCTTATTGAATGTTCTTAATAAAAAAAATATCAAATATAACTTTTCTTTTTCACCAATTCTCGCAATCAATTGCTTAAAGATTAAAAGGGGTTCATTGGTTACAAGTGTGTTGAACTTGACTCGAGGGGAAGACAACACAACGGGAAAAAATTTCGATGTGAAATTGGTGTGAAATTTCCCACCACGATGGGAATTTCCCATCGTTTCCCGTCGATTTCCCATCGCAATGGGAAATTTCCCGTCGATTTCCCATCACAATGGGAAATTTCCCACCACACTACGGGGCAATATTGAAGACAGCGAAAATCAAGAATATGTTTTGAATGTTTCGAAATACACTCTCGGGGCATTTTTTTCTTGTAGAGGACATCGAAATTGACTTCTAATCGTAATTTTAGGTCATTTGGAGTTATTTCCGTAATTCTAGGGCTGTTTGAAGATAAAAATAGACGAAAATTCTGATTTTTTCCTGTCCTTTTTGAACTTAAAGTTCTCAACAATGATTAAAGTTATTGAAAAACGCTTTTCAATCCCTATTCAAATAAAAGATTTATTTTAAAACATAATGAAATTTAGGATGTATGAAAATCTTAGGAAAACTATCTTCGTACGTTCCGCAAATATCTTAGCTCTGATAAATACTGATTGCTAACACAAAAATGTACTGGGGTCCCAATAAAAGTTCAATATTTGTCAAGATATAGGGTACTTTTTGATTTCTGACGAGTTGTATCCTTTTCATATTTCTCAAACTGCTCTAACTCTTGCAAAACAAAATACTTTTTAATCCGTTTTCAGTTTATTATAGCTTAACTTATAGTTAATACCTGATACGAACAGTTCATGTTCGACAGACTTATCGAAAGTCTAGGGGTGTTATAATATGCACGTTCGAAAAATTTAAATTTGAAAAAATCGTTACATTTTTTGTCATTTTAGTAGAGTTTTTGATGGTTTTAAAAAGATTTAGCTAAATTTTGCATATTATTAAATGACTACATAATATTTTCATCAAAATTTCATATAAAACTTGCTAAATTTCATTTTTATTTTTTTCCTTATTTTCGAAAATTTTGAACTGCGGGGTATGAAACTTCGAATTTGGCATGGCAGACAGACAAATAAGACATTTTCACAAGTTTTCTTCGAAACTGTAACGGTCGAAACCATTGAATTGTTCGGAACAGGTTAATACCTGATACGAACAATTCATGTTCGATAGACTTATCGAAAGTCTAAGGGAGTTATAATATGTACGTTCGAAAAATTTAAATTTGAAGAAAACCGTTGAAATTTTAGTGATTTTATTGGAGTTTTTGATTGTTTTCAAAAAGATATAGCTATATTATGCTTATCATTAAACGACCACATAAAAGTTTCATCTAGATTTAATATTAAACTTGTTTAATTTAAGTTTTTATTTTTTTGTAATTTCGAAAATTTCGAACTGCAGGGTATGAAACTTCGAATTTTGTATGACAGACAGACAAATAAGACATTTTCACAAGTTTTCTTGGTTAACGGTCGAAACTCCTGAATTGTTCGTATTAGGTTAATACCATTCTAATGATGTATAATACTTGATGGTTACTTTTGATATTGGTCATGAATATAGGCTTTGTTTATGAATGACCCCAAATTAGAAAATAATCTCAAAAACGACATTTCTAGAAATACAACTTAGAAACAAAATTTTGTATAACTAAGACTATTAAAACTCAAAAGGAAAGGAGATATGGTTTTACTACCCGAAAAATCTCCATCTAAAATATTTGCGGCACGGTTGAAGCTATTTTCCTAAGTACCAAAACTACAAATTTATAAATTTAAATGTGCAACAAAATAAAGCTTTTACATCATACTATTAGGAACTGAAAAGCGTTTATCAATAACTTTAATCCTTGTTTAATTATTTTTAACTTCAAACAGCCCTAGAATTAACGAAACAACATCTTATTACCTGAAATTTGGTTATTACATCAATTTTAATGTCCTCTTCAAAAAAAATATGCACCGAGAGTGTAATTCAAACCATTCCAAAAACAATTTCCAGTTTTTTTTTTAAATTTGCCCCGAATTGGTGTCACGTTGGGAAATTTCCCATCAATTTCCCACTGCGATGGGAAATTTCCCATCGATTTCCCGTCGATTTCCCACCATGATGTAAAATTTCCCGTCATGATGGGAAATTTTCCCACTACGGTGGGAAATCATAAATTTTTTTCCCGTTGTGTTATCTTCCCCTCGACTTGACTTCGTTACGTTCAACTGTTTATAGATTACAGTAGAGGTTTATAGGTTACAGGTCTAGAGTAGAGTTTTAATCATGTCCGGACCTAAAATCCAAAAACCAGTGCAATTTTAGTCGTGTCTGCAACCAACAAACAACAACAAGCAAGATCCAGTCCAATTTTAGTCATTTCTGAAATTAACCAAGATCCAGTTCAAGTTTAGTCATGTCTGAAACCACTAACAAGATTCAGTACAATTTTGGTCATGTCTGGAACTAAACACTAAGTTCCAGAAGGTTATAAATTACAAAGAAGCTACAAAACAAATAAACATTGATAGTCTTCATCGATCTGTGTTTCTGCACAGCATAACTTTGTAAACAAAATTTAACCACAGCTGTGCTTCTCTCTTGCTCCAAACTTATAATAGCTTTTTGAAATATAAAATTATTGGAATTGATCGCAAGATTTGACCTCGACAAACAAGTTAACAGGTAAGAAAGCAAGTTAAGAAAAACGTGGTGAAAAATACTGTGATTTTATTGTAAATTTAAAATTTAATGAGGTGCAGTTGGTTGATATATATGGAATTGATATGGAAATTGGTTGAACTTTACTTCACAGGAAATCTTCTTGTATAGAAAACTAAAATGGATTTATATTCCATTAACCGACTTGTGCAAAAGAGATAAAACTGGTAAAGATGGCAAGTAGATCGTTCATTGTTAAAAATGCTACTTAAAAAAAAATGCGCACCAAATTAGTTAAAATATATTCGGAATGTTTGAAAGTTTTTGACCCACAGATCAAACATATTAATTTAAGCCATGCGAAAATAATTTCTTATATGTTTTTGTAAGAGTAATTTGCATTTCTTCCAAGATATATTTCCACTTGGCTTTAAATTTGTTATTAAAATTTACATTTATACCATAACAATTTGTTGAGGTAATAAATTATTTATATTATTAATTAAAACATTAGAATATTGTGGACTTTATAAATGAGTGAATTTGGGTAAAAAATAACAAAATTTATCCACCAGTTGAAGATAAAAGTAATCGTAGGATAGTTTTTAAAAATTTAACTAATAAAGTGCTAATTCAAAAATCATGACAAGTTTCAATTGTCGTCAAGTGTGTCGCGTGAACGTGGACCCAGAAGATGAGATTGTGATTTCGGGTATTTCAGGAAGATTTCCAAAGTCGCACAATGTTGCTGAGCTGAGTCATAACTTGTTTAATAAGATTGACATGATTGATTCCTGTGAAACAAGATTTAAATATTTTAATGGCGAAACTCCGGATCGTATTGGATTTACTTACGATCTTGATAAGTTTGATGCACAGCAAAGAATGCTTCAAGAACATGCTTACGAAGCCATGATAGATGCTGGAATGTGTCCAAAACATTTTCGTGGAAGTAGAACTGGTGTTTTTGTTGGATGTTGTGCAGTTGAGGCTGATGATTACTTATTTTTTAATGAAGTTTCAAAAGAGAGCTTAGGAATGCTTGGATCAGCTCGTTCTCTGCTAGCGAATCGTATTTCGTTTTCTTTGGACCTTAAAGGCCCATCACTAATGGTTGATACAGCTTGCAGTAGCTCTGGTTATGCCTTAGATTTGGCATATAAAGCTATTCGTAATGGCGAATGTGAAGCAGCAATTGTCGGCGGAGCTAATATTATTATAGATGAATCTTTAACAGTCCAATTTGCTAGGTAAGATTTATTATTTTATTATTATTATTATTTTATTTTGTCTGTCTCAATTTGATATCATTACTTTGTGTGTTCATTGCTTTGAATTTTGAATTCTAGATCGCGATTATTAGCAATGGACGGATACTGTTGTCCATTTGATGACAATGCTCGTGGATTTGTTCGATCTGAATCTGTCAACACTCTGTTCATACAAAAGAGAAAAGACGCAAAAAGAATTTACGCTACAGTTGTCCATTCAAAAACAAATGTAGATGGTTTTAAAAACGAAGGACTATCATATCCTTCAGCAGCACTTCAAGCTAAATTATTTGAAGAGCTTTATCAAGAAATTGGAATTAATCCAAACACTGTTGATTATGTTGAATGCCACGGCACAGGAACACGAGTTGGAGATCCACAAGAGTGCATGTCAATTGACCAAGTGTTTTGTACTGAACGTCCTAAGCCGCTTTTAGTTGGATCTATGAAATCAAATATGGGTCATACAGAAGCTGCTTCATCGAATTCTTCTGTTATAAAATCCATTTTGATTTTTGAGAATGAAAAAATTCCGGCAAATCTTCATTTTACAAAAGTTCGACAAGACATTCCATCATTAGTTGCTGGACGACTTAAACCAGTTATTGAAACACAAGAATTCAATGGAAACATGATAGCAGTTAACAGCTTTGGTTTTGGTGGTGCGAATTCTCATATTTTGTTGAAAAAACACTTAAAGGATAAAGTTAATAATGGAATTGCAACTGATAACATTCCACGATTATTAGTTTGGTCTGGAAGAACAGAAGAAGCATTAAATACAATTTTCGATAGTGTTACAAAGCAACCACTCGATGCTGAATATATTGCACTTCTTCAAAATACACAAGTTTCAACTCAATCGTCTAATACTTATCGTGGATATGCTCTGTTTTCACAAGATCCTGAATCTTCAAATGCAACTTGCATTGAACGTCATATTGAAAATTTTGCTGAAGAAAGAAGACCTATAGTTTGGGTATTTAGTGGAATGGGATCTCAATGGCCAGGTATGGGTGCTGATTTGATGAAAATTCCAATTTTTGAGAGTTCCATCAAGAGATGTCATGACATCTTAGCCAAGAAAGGAGTAGACTTGATCAAAATCATTACATTAGATGATCCAACAATTTTTGACAATATCCTGCATTCATTCGTTGGCATATCAGCAGTTCAACTTGCTTTGACAAATGTTTTGAAAGCTGTTGGACTTGAACCAGATTATATCATTGGACATTCATTTGGTGAACTTGGATGTGCATATGCAGATAATTGCTTAACTGAAGAGGAAATGATTCTATCTTCATACTATCGTGGACTTGTTTCTATCCAAAATAAAAATAAAACAATTTTTGGATCAATGGCTGTCGTTGAAGTTGGATATCAGCAAATAAAATCAATGCTTGATGATGGAATCCATGTTGCTTGTCACAATAGTGCGGATTCTTGTACGATTTCAGGACCAGCTGAAATTGTAGCTCAATGTGTTGAAAAATTAAAGATACAAAATATTTTTGCAAAGGAACTTCAATGTTCAAATATTGCTTACCACAGTCCATATATTAATGAATTTGGTCCAAAATTAGAAAATGTATTGAAATCGATCATTTCAAATTCTAAGCAACGATCAGAGAAGTGGATTTCTACAAGTGTACCAAAGAATGAGTGGAACTCGTTAGAAGTCAAATATTCATCAGCCCAATACCATACAAATAATTTGTTGAATCCAGTACTGTTCGAAGAAAATTGTGAAAGTCTTCCGAAAAATGCTCTTACCCAATGGGTGCCTACAACAATGTAGACCGTTATTTTTTCTAAAATTCAAACCTGTTTCGAAAAAATTCGAAAAATAATTTTTTATAAAAAATTTTGAAATTTTAAAGACCGTTAATTTTATTTATGAACAAAAATCAATTCCTCGACGCAAATTTGTTTTTTGAATGTAACAATCGACAATGAAGCTCAAGTTTTGATCGAAAAGTTACAAAAAATAATATTAAATTTTCAATAGTCTTTGAACAATGCTCAAATGGAATTTCAACCTGACTAAGAACAATATCTGAAAATTTTGTCTTGAATGTGTTACAATCACTTACAGCAGAAATCTCACTTCCGTCGACACTTATGTTGTTTGATTTTAAAAATAACAACCATTTATCTTTGTTTAATGAGTGCTTAGGTACTTTAAAAAGATTTGTAATTGTTTTATTTTTGTTGCAGCTTGCAATTTTGCAGGTTTTACCCATAATTAATGAAAATTAATCAAAATTTTACTGATGTAAACAAATATAATTTTTTGATGAAATATTTTTAACGGATTTTCATTTTTTGAAAAAAATTCAAATTCGAATTTTCGATTTCGAAGAATAAGGACCATTTTCGAAGAATAAGAACCATCGGCACCCATTGGGCTCTTACTATTGAAATTGCACCTTATGGCTTGCTGCAGGCGATTATAAAAAGAAATTTAAATAACGGAATGCATTTTAGTTTGACAAAACGTGACAGTTGTGAAGGATCAATGTTACTTTATAGAACCCTTGGAAATTTATTTGAAAATGGAGTTGACTTAGATTTGAGCAAACTTTATCCAACAATTGAATTTCCTGTATCAAGAGGAACTCCAATGATTGCACCATCAATAAAATGGAATCATGCTGAATCATATTACACTACAAAATATGACAGTAGAACTTTCAATGAAAAAGTTTTTAATTTGTCTGATACAGAGTTTGAATTCATCTCAGGACATGAGGTCGATGGACGTATTCTATTTCCAGCTACAGGGTATATATATTTGGCATGGAAAACACTCGCAGCTCAATTAAGAGAAAATTTTGAAACTTTTGATGTCGAGTTTGAAGATATCAAATTCATTCGAGCATGTCAAGTTCAGAAGGATCGCGACCAAAAATTGACAGTTTTTGTGCTTCCAGAAACTGGTCATTTCCAAATAAGTGAAAATAATTTAACACTTGTTACTGGAATCGTTCGTCCTTGTGATAATTCTAAAAAATTAACTGAAATTGAAACAGAAGAATCAAAAGATGAAGTTGTGGAACTTGAGTCTGCAGATGTGTATAAGGAACTTCGTCTAAGAGGCGCTCTCTATAAAAACATATTTAGATCAGTTATTTCAGCTAAAATGGACAGTTCAAGTGGAAAAATTAAATGGCAATCAAATTGGGTTGCATTCCTTGATTGTATACTTCAAGTTCGAATTGTGTCAAAGGATACAAGGTCACTTGAAGTTCCTATTGCTATTAAAAAAGTGATCATTAAAAAAAATGAACACGAGAAATTAATGTCAGAGCTTGGTGAAAATCCAATTGTTGAAGTAAAATACTGTCCAAATATGAAAATCCTCCAATGCGGTGGTGTGGAATTTGGTGGTCTAATGTCACAATCTATTGGAAGACGTCCTTTAAAAGGAATTCCAGTACTTGAAAGTTATCAATTTGTGCCTCACTTTCCAACTCCATGCTTCTCTAAAATTGACGTTGGACGCTTTTGTGTGGAATTGGCAATCGAAAATGATCTTGTTGGAAAAGTTTCGTGCGTTGAGATTGACATGAACGATGATAGAGAACCATTGTGTGAATATTTTGGACAGGCTTTGAATGATTTTCCTCTTGTGACAGCGACGTTGAATTATTTGACATCCAAAGATATTGAAATCTTTCAAACAACTGTCTCAAATTCAGAATTGTCAACATTCAGCAACCAAACATTTATAATTAAATCAAATTGTATGTTTGATGCTGATTTCTTAGAGAATGTGAAGAAATACATTAATGAAAATTCCTACATCATTTCTAGGGAATCAAAGGATCGTGAAATTTATCATGATTTTGAAGGATGTGAAGGTTATAAAATAGTTGCTATCATTCCAACTGAAACTGAGACTGTAGTAATGATGAATTACAAAAAGGTCCCGCATCCATGTCCAACATCAATAATCAAAATTACAAATACCGATCAAAGTTATTCATGGCTTGATATTTTGAAGAAAACAGCAAAAACGGAACCGACATTAGTTTATTCTGAAAATGAAAGCCAATCAGGAATTTTGGGACTCGTTAATTGTATCAGAAAGGAACCAAGTGGACATAATTTACGTTGTGTATTCATCGATGATGAACAAGCACCGCCATTTGATATTAACGATCCATTTTACAAAGCACAGCTTAACAAAGGTTTAGCTAAAAACATTTTTCGAAATGGCAAATGGGGAAGCTATAAACACTTTTTAGTCAAACCTAATTATGAAAAAATGCAACATGAAGATTCTTGCTTTTTAAACAGTTTGGTTAAAGGAGATCTCTCTTCTATCAAATGGCTTCAAAGTCCAATCAAGAATGATTCTGACAATATTGTAAAAGTTCAATATGCTGCATTAAACTTTAAAGATACCATGTTGGCTACAGGAAAATTATCAGCTGACACAGTGAGTGAGAATAGAATGGAATTAATGTGTATAATGGGAATGGAATTTTCTGGCATAACAAAAGAAGGACGTCGTGTTATAGGAGTGATCCCTGCTGGTGCTTTGTCAACTCATGTTGAAGTAGATAAATTGATTTCATGGGAAGTTCCTGATCATTGGACACTTGAAGAAGCTGTTACTGTTCCAATTGTCTATGGTACTGTTTATACAGCATTTTTCATCACAACCAAAATCAAGAAGGGAAAATCAATTTTGATTCATTCAGGCACAGGTGGGGTAGGATTGGCGGCTATTCGAGTAGCATTTGCTTATGGTTTGGAAGTATTTACAACAGTAAGTACAGAAGAGAAGAAAAACTACTTGTTGAATGAGTTCCCTGAACTAAAACGAGAAAATATTGGAAATTCCCGTGATACATCATTTGAAAATATGATCATGAAACGGACTCGAAGTAAAGGAGTTGATTATGTGCTGAATTCTTTATCTGAAGATAAATTAGCAGCATCTTTGCGATGTTTAGGTAGAGGTGGAAAGTTCCTGGAAATTGGCAAATTTGATATGGCCAATGACAATAAATTAAGTCTTGGAGACTTTTTAAGAGAACTAACATTTCACGCTATTTTTGTCGATAACATACATAAATCACCAAAAGAAGAAAAATTGACATTGAAAAAGCTCTTGGACGAAGACATTTCAAAAGGAATAATTAAGCCATTGAAAACAACTGTATTTAATGCCGATGAAGTTGAAGATGCATTCAGACTCTTAGCAAGTGGCAAACACATTGGAAAAGTTGTTTTAAAGCTTCGTGAAAATGAATCTGACAATGCAACATTACCAATCTCAGTTATACCAAGAGTTTATTGCAATCCAGAACATTCTTACATTATTTGTGGTGGTTTGGGAGGTTTTGGTTTAGAACTTGCTGACTGGTTGGTTTTGAGAGGTTGCAAAAATTTAATTTTGAGTACAAGCCGAGGAATAACTTTGCCATATCAAGCATTTCGCATTAAAATATGGGAATCATATGGCATTCACGTACAGGTTAATAAGTCAGACATTACCACAAGACAAGGATGTGAACAATTGATTAATGATGCTCTTAAGCTTGGCAAAGTTGGAGGAATTTTCAATTTGGCACTTCAATTGCGAGATAGTATTCTGGAAAATCAAACAGTCACCTCTTTTGATGAATGTATGGCACCAAAGGCTTATGCAACTAAATATTTGGATGAAATCTCAAGAACAAAGTGTCCATTTTTGCAGTATTTTGTAATTTTCTCAAGTCTTGCTTGTGGACGAGGAAATCCTGGACAAAGCAGCTATGGTATGGCTAATTCTGTGATGGAAAGATTGATAGAAGAACGACATATGCTAGGACTCCCTGCAAAAGCAATTCAATGGGGAGCAATAGGAGAAGTTGGAGTTGTTGCGAAACATCAAAAAGATAATATTGATATGGTTTTTGGTGGAACTTTATTTCAAAGTATAGCCTCTTGTTTACAAGAACTTGACACGTTAATAACTGTCGAGAGTCCCGTCGTCTCAAGCATGGTTGTTGCTGAAAAAACAGTTCAAAGGTCTGGAAAAGGTGGCGTTATTGAAATGCTTAAGAATATCATGTCAATAAAGGATATGAAATCAGTTTCGATGGAAACAAAACTTTCAGAACTAGGCATGGATTCATTAATGACAGTTGAAATTTCTCAAACTTTAGAACGAGACTTTAACATTGTATTGACATCACAACAACTTCGATCAATGACAGTTGCACAACTAAAAGCACTTGAAAATAACGATACAGATGCAGTTCCGAAATCAGGACAGATTAATTTTGAATTTTTAATTCAGAATTTTGGAGATGAATCTACAAGTCACTTGACCATACTAAAGGTTAATGATCAATTAGAAGAAACCGATACGAAAGCGTTGATTTTTCCTGGAATTGAAGGTACATTTAATTTTTCTTATACATAGCAAAATAAACATTGTAAGTATTTTAAGGTGTTGGTGGAAAAATGTTCTTCGATTTTGCAAAGAAAACAAAATACCCAGCTTATGTCGTGCAATGCATGAATATTTACGATATCAGTAACATCAATGAGATGTGTGATGCTTTAATTGAGGTAAATTTGTGCATAAAACTTGTGACTAATAATAATATTGAATTTTAATTAGGATGTCGCAGCACTGTATGCAAATGACTCAACATTCCTGTTTATTGGATATTCTTATGGATCAATTTTAGCATTGAAATTGGCGAAACTGATTTAGGAAAAACTGGCAAAGTCATCATTATTGATGGCTCTCCCAGTTTGTCAAAAAAATTTATCACCGAGATAGTTCCAAAATCAGGAAACGATGATCAAATGATTGAAACACTTGCTATGGATTCAAGCTTAAAGTATGCCTTCCCAAATGATACTAGTAACCGTAGAAAACAAGTTCTAGATGAGCCTACTTGGGATGCAAAATTAAAGAAGATAGATGAGATTTATTTGGATTTTGAAATCTATTCAAAAGAATTTATCTCCAAAGCTGCAACACTTGTAAAGAATCGTATAACAGCAGGATATTATTTATCTTTAGATGACTTTGCGATCATAAAGTCACCGATAAAATTAGTGAAACCAACTGAAGCACTAGTTTTTAACGAAGAACATGATTTTGGATTAAATAAATTTTCAGACAGTGAAATTGAAGTGACAATTCTTGAAGGAAATCACACAACAATCTTAGAACATCCGGATGTCTTTAAAATCATTAATTCTTCTTTTTAAATTAATTTCGAGTTTTGAATGGGTTTTATAAAAGTTCTATTCGGTTATGGATTTTTTTTAAAAATAAATTAGTAATAAAATAAAAAAATGTTGGCAAAAGAAAATAATATTTTTTTAAATCAGTTAAAATGCTTTTAAATAAAATTAAAAATATTAATCCCGCATCTTTTCTGATGTTTTTTTTTCAATTCAACTTATTTTTTTATAAATATATATTTTATATCCCCATATTTCACACAAACAATTGAAAATGATAAAAAAAAATATTTTTACTCTTGTCGTGGTTGAATCGCTGCTGTTTAAAACCGCAGCTCTGTTGTTTTGTGATTCAATATTGAACAGCACAAGCTTCTCTTTGGCAGAATGAATTTTTAAAATTTTATATATTTTCTTTAAGTTTTTGAATTGGATTATTCAAGCTAGACTATTGCAGCTTTTAAAAATTTTAATTTCATGTGAATTACTGCCACATGTAGGATTAAATAACTTTGTCATGGAAACTTTAATTTGTCTTTAATGATTTTTTAGCTGAGTCACTGTAATTGGATAGAAATTAAGATTTATATCGTGATATTTTGTTTCTAATGTCCTGTATGTGAGTGATATTGAAGGATAATTGTCATAAAGTGCTTGGCTGGCAAGAAAAACATGAACAAACTTGAGTATAATATTAAGAATGTTACTTGATAGCTGTAAGTGCATTATGGCTTTATTCTGAGTTGTAGTTTATTTTTATATTCACACCCTGATTCACACCGTTTTCACGTGTGAATCTTTTGGTTTTGTTCAGATTGAAAAATCAGTTTTTCGCATTTTGTGAGAAAACAAAGCAAAATTGGTTATAAAAGGTCACAGAAGAAAAGTTTGTGCCTAAAATTTTACATCATTTTCAAAAAACAGATTTCAAATTGGTTGTGGCATTGCTGAGAAAATCGCAAAATACGCTTTCTGTAAGCAAACAAGCAAGCAAGCAAGCAAGTTAATCAGCAAGAAATCTCAATAACGAGACATTGTAGAGACTTCTAGTTTTTTACATTTGATCCGTGCTGCTCTATAGAAGAGCTGTATTGTTTTTGGGCAAGGTAGGAACAGCCATTGCTTCAGAAAAAGCAAAAAACTTTCCTTTCTCACGAATTTTTCAAATTAAAAGTTCACTGTGATTTTTTTTATTTTAAATTAAACTTTGGATGAAAAAATTTTTTTTGAGCAAAGAACCAAGTAGGAAATACAGTTTCAATTTTGGACTAGGGGCGACCCTAGTCAAAATCAATTTTGTCACTTTTTTCTTCGAGGGTTTATCCAAATGGATTGAAACTTTGCATAAATGTTCTAGTGCTTAAAACAAATACAAATAAAACATTCTAAAATTTTTTTGAGTAAAGAACCAAGAAGGAAATACATTTTCAATTTTGGACTAGGGGCGACCCTAGTCAAAATCAATTTTGTCATTTTTTTCTTCGAGAGTTTATCCAAATGGATTGAAACTTTGTATGAGTTTACTAATATTTATACAAAACAGTTTTAAAAATCTAAAACAAAAAATGTATTTTATATGTCGTCAGACCCAAATTTTAGAATATTTTATTTGTATTTGTTTTAAACATTTAAATATTTATGCAAAGTTTCAATCCATTTGGATAAACCCTCGAAGAAAAAAGTGACTAAATTGATTTTGACTAGGGTCGCCCCTAGTCCAAAATTGAAAATGTATTTCCTACTTGGTTCTTTGCTCACAAAAATTTTAGAATATTTTATTTGTATTTGTTTTAAACATTAAAATATTTATGCAAAGTTTCAATCCATTTGGATAAACCCTCGAAGAAAAAAGTGACAAAATTGATTTTGACTAGGGTCGCCCCTAGTCCAAAATTGAAAATGTATATTCTACTTGGTTCTTTGCTCAAAAAAATTTTAGAATATTTTATTTGTATTTGTTTTAAACATTAAAATATTTATGCAAAGTTTTAATCCATTTGGATAAACCCTCGAAGAAAAAAGTGACAAAATTGATTTTGACTAGGGTCGCCCCTAGTCCAAAATTGAAAATGTATTTCCTACTTGGTTCTTTGCTCAAAAAAATTTAGGATGATTTATTTGTTCTTGTTTTAAGCACTAGAACATTTATGCAAAGTTTCAATCCATTTGGATAAACCCTCGAAGAAAAAAGTGACAAAATTGATTTTGACTAGGGTCGCCCCTAGTCCAAAATTGAAAATGTATTTTCTACTTGGTTCTTTGTTAAAAAAAATTTTAGGATGTTTTATTTGTATTGACATAATTACTTACTGTAATGCATAGCTTAAAAAAATCGAAATCTAAAATTTCGACTACCCCATCTGAATTTTGTTCATACTCTTCACTGTGGAAACCAAAAAACAAATTTTTTATCTTAAAACACTTGACAAAATAGCGACATAATTCTGGATTAATTACTTTTTAATAATATTTTAACATTTACGAGAAAATGTGGTTCAAATAAGTGTGAAGTATGGCCGAGATTTGGACCAAAATCAGCTATACTGGTTCATAGTGTTCCCGAGGATGACAAAATTCAAACTAAGTGTTTTTGTAGCTGACATAATTATGACATAAATTAGGTATATCTTTTGAACTGTGACTTCTGCTGAGCAAATCTTGGTCTATCCATAAGACTTTTCATGGTACGGTGTGAATATATCCGCATTGGGTTTCTACCCGATACACTAGTTAGATTTGAGTCTTATATCTTAAAGACATAAAAGACCTTCTTCATGTCACTAACTTCGAATTATGCATAAATATGCAATGTAAATTGCGAATAATTCTCAATTAAGCTAATAGCATCAAATATCGAAAGTTTCCATTGGTTCATTCTTTATTAATTTCTTTAAAAGAACTGTAATTCAATTGCTTATACATAATTTAGAATCTACCTCAATTTTACCTCAACCAACCAGCATATCGTGCACTGTCAACATCAATTCCCATCAATTTTATATAAATTCATGCATTGGCTGCATTTATAAAATTAAACATCTTATTAATGCAGAACAACATAAATTTGTATAGAAAATTCCATTAGAAAATTAAAATAAATTAATTGATTTGCATGCTCGGAGCTGGAAACATGCAAAGCCAATGAATTAAAATTAGGCATTTTTCTGTTAGAAAGAAATGAGAAACAGTTATAAAAATTAAGATAATCATTTCAGCAGCAGAAAAAAAAAATAAATTCTGCATCATTAAAATATCTCAAATCTCATTTTGCTGAATATCCACCATGCATATCTACCCAAATGATATGCATTTAAATGTATAATTTTAAAAGCTAATTGCAGCAATCTGCATGAATATTATTTACCCGAAAAAACCGCAAAAATGCTTTTTATTCTCCTATTCTGTACGATTATACAAGGAACAGTCGTGTATCAAGGGAGAGTTTCTAGTGGTCTTGATCACATGAGACAGTTTCTTGAGCTAATCAACCTTAAAATGCTGATCTTAATTTTAAGTAGCTAGAGTATTTAAAATCTAGTTTTAAGCAAGCTTGTGGCAAAGCTAATTTCATGTATCTTAGCTTAAAACTAGCTTTCTATCGGTTCTGGTTTAGAGCCTCGAGTAGCCTTAAAAACAGGCTTGACTTAAACATAGATGTGGTCCAACAACAACCCATGTGTAGATGTGACTCAAATAAGATATCTGTAGTCGAAAGGCCAGAGCATAGAGCTCACTGTAAAACTGATTGTATGGGTATGACTGATAGCCAAAATGAGATAAGTACCTCGTTGGTTGAGTGGCAAGGATCTCTGATCGAGTTGTCAGAAATCGCCTCCTTTGAAGCTGTTGGTTCGATTCCCATCGTACCTGACTTGTTTTACATTAGTATACACATATCGCAGCTATAGGAAGATCTACAACCATAGCTATCCCTTAATCCACCCCCTCCATACACACCACGAATAAAAAAACATTTTTTCCAGTCAGAAAGCAGCAAAAAGTATCAATTTTGGATGCGATTTGGTATTATATCCACATAATAGCAATTTTCGAGTTGCATTTATTATTTCGGATGAAAAAATAATACCAATTGTAATATGATTTTCATGGGATCATATAACCGCAAAGGCAGACATATACAGAATTGTTATGAACGTCAGTTGAGTGTAATTGAGAAATGTGTGCATATATGCATGAATATTATATGTATAAATTTTTTTTAATATTGTTTTTAGTGCTTCACAGAAAACCACTATTTGTGCATCATATTATTACGGTTTTTCATTTCAATCGTTCGTATTATTCATGTTTTTGCTATTTGGTTTTGTTCTTTGTGTTTCGTATGAAAGGAAGGAAAGAATTTTTTAAGCTATAAGACAAGCAAAGGAGAATATTGGGGGTGGCAACTGAGGTCGTGGAAGTGAGTGGAAATGGTCGCATCCTCACTGTTGATTTAAACGTCACATGACCTTAGATAGCAAATGGTAGCCAGCGATAGAGAGAGCTTTAGGCGCGATTTAATGGAGGCCCTGGATCACAATTGATATGTACGGCTAGGGAAGTATGTAAGTAAGTATGACTTTAGATCAGTGTCGAGGCATACCTGTGTTGCGTTTGCTGTGTGCAGTTTTGGTCATAGCTTACCATCAAGGTGTGTCGTGACGCAAAAAAGGTTGGCCATCACTGCCTTCGATCAACCCTCTTTTCTTAAGACTCAGCAGATGAACGCACGATCTTATAAAACTCAGTTTATTAGCTATCAAATTTAAGATTAACCCCAAAACTCAACATTTCTCATCCACAAATCAAATCTCCAAATGTTACCATCATTAAGCTACATCATGCCATCGAGTGCACTAAAAACAATTGATTGTTCTTGAAATCATCAGTTTTGAGAGTCAATTCAAATAATGAACGAACGTAGAGCATAAAATAAATAATAAAAAAAAAATTGAAATCAAAAAAAGTTCATTCGTCGGATAATAATTCATGAATATTTGGAAATGAAGGGGATGAGGAATGAAAATAACAAAAAAAAATTGGTTATTACTGCTATGATGAAAATGGTTTAATAAATATGTGCAAACATACAAAAAATCGCAGACTGTAAACCGCAGACAAATATTTTATAATTTATTTATTTTATTGAGTAAAATTTTTATTTTTTTTTTGAATTTTTTGTTTTCGTGGTATTTCTGGCTGTAGACCTGATTTTTTTTTTGAGACTATACATTTGCTGTAGACTTAAAGATATCAATTGAATTACATTTGATAATTTTTATATTGTTTTAATTACAGTCATTTCTAAATTTGTTCTGTCGACTGCTTAATGTACAAGATCAAGCCATATTTGGGAATTTAGGCATCATTTATTTAAGGACCGGGTCAGGAACTTGAAGTGTTGCAGGAGAAATAGAAAAATGATTACAAACGAATGGAATACAATACAGACCATGCAAGACACAACACACATATTACAAGAAAAAACCGCATCAAAAAAGTTTAAACTGGAGGAGGAGATAGCTGTACAGACAGACGAACGGACAAAGTGAGGATAATAGCGTCATTTCTTGAGGATCTAAGAAAATCACAATCACATGGCCAAGTTAACGAGCAATCAACTTAATTCCTATATTTAACTCGCCCTTTATTTGCCATCCGTCCCACTCATAAAATTAAAATCTCATTAAAATTGTAAAAATGTCAAAGTGCCACAAAAAGAAGCCTTTTTCTGACTCTGTCATATATTTAAAATATAAATAAACCATTCAATTTATTCAAAAATGCATAACTATTCTGAAAGTAAAAATAAAAAAACTTTTTTTTTGTGCTACTCAATTTACAATTTAATTTTTTCATGCGGTGCACACACATGGGACTAATGAGATTTTTCTGTGTTTGAAATGCCCAGCGGGAAGGAAAGATTTTTTTTGCTGATGTTGTTTTGTATTTGCAACAATTTCTCTAACAAGATTTATTTATATTCATTAGAATTGCATGGACAATGAAAAGATTAAATTTAAGTAAAGTCAATGTTGCGTCGTCAATTAGACTCTTTATGTTGAATCCCAACTACTCCATTCATAGAAGTGATTTTCCATTTCATCAATATCATCAATGTGAATGTCAATAATATCTTTATTAAGAACGGCTCCTTTTGTGTAAATCCAGATGAAGCTTGAGATCAATAATATGAAGAGAATTTGTTGAATCCTAAAAGATTGAAATAAATAATTACTTAAAATATAATTGATAGAAATTCAGACCTGATCAAACTTACATTTTAATGAAGTTTATTTGCTTAGTTTAGAACTTTTAATGTCTATAGAATAAGCGATTGTTGGACTTTATATGATTTTTAAATACCTGAAAATATTTTGTGAAACTATGACTTTTGAAAATTTTGGAAAGTGCATGTAATAAAATACCAGATTTTTCATTGAGGATATCCTTTTTTTTCATTTTAATTGCACTTTATTGCATCTATTGACGACATACTGTCCAGTAATAATTCACATTTTACACTTTTTGTATTTGTATACATATGAATTAGAATTATGTAGGATCAAACTTCTAATCTTCAAATCTAGGTAATCCTAATACCTAATTTCTATTATTATTTATAGTGAATAAACTAATTTCAAAATATTTTGAAAATTCTAATAGATAACTTGGGTTCAAGACGTGTTCACTAGTGATCAATCCTAAAAATCTCAAAAAATCCCAGCACTTCCTGTCATCGAAATTATAGTTGAAATTTTTTTGGAGATTTTTGGGTATTTTTTTTTACATTATTCAATAATTTGCCAGGAAGGAGCGATTTGTCCCTCAAATCTATTTTAAATTTTACTTAAATTATTTTTTTTTAAATTGAACTTTTTATATATTTACATTTAAATTTAAGTATGTACAAAGTTTCTATACATTTTGTTGCTTTTTGTTTTTTAAGGTTTCAGGCATTCAATTTGCATTTTGTCACTTAATTTTTGATTTCATTTACGGATTTTACTTTCTTTTGTATTTCATTTGATTTATTCGGTATTTTGAGATGCAAGACGACTGTTGAAGTTCGCTTGCAACTTTCCGACGTAGTCTTCGATGGACGGTATTTTCGCTTCTGTATGAAGATCGGTGATCCTTTCATATCTTGTTTTATTGAGAACAATTCTCAAGAATTTGTTTTGCAGTACTTGAAGTTTTTGAAGGTGAGTTTTTGCCATACTTCCAAATGCTGGACAAGCATATGTGAATATTAGTCTGATGGCTAGCTTGTAGATGAGAAGTTTGTTTCGTGCGTCGAACTGTGAGTTCCTGCTGATGAGCGGATAAAGCTGTCTTAGTGCGGTGTGAGCCCTATTGGTCACATACTCCACATGCGGCTTTAATGTCACTCTCTTGTCGATCACCATTCCCAGATATTTAACTTCTGTTTCCTATTTGATATTTTCGTTGAGAAATTTGATTCTATTTCCTGGAAGTTGCCTGGAGTGCCTTATTGTGATGTCTTAAATTATTGGTAAGATTTATGAATATATTGCAATTAAGATTGTATTGAATAAATTGTAAGTAAGATTCGAGACGCTAGTTCAAATATGCATAGTTGAAGAGTTAAGACCTGGGGGTCCGCAATTTGAATAAGTGTTTTGTTCAAGAAAAATCCTGTTCAAATCGAATCTACTCAAATCGAGAACACATAGTAATTATCTTAAAAGCAGCCTTACCTCGAAGTCTATAAAGATTTTAGAAAAAATAGATTGATTTCAAACAAAGCTTGAGTCAACTTAATGTTTTGATCTACCGCGAAGCAAATTCATTTATTTTAGTTTTTGTAAAGGAAAAAAAAGGAATTGATTCATTAAAAGTGTGAAATTAAAAAAATTAGAAATTTATTATTCAAAAACTTACTTTTATTAATAAACTCAAATAGCAAAACAAAATATATTCACAAAAATTGAAAATTTTGTGTGAATATGAATGATAAATTTGAAGACTTTTCATTCTGATCTCATCGAAACTTTCTTGAAGAATTTCATTTCAATGCGCAGAGCTTCCAAACTTAAATTCACATTTTGCCAACCAGATAAACATCTTTTCCATTGTTTCAGTTTGTCTCTTTTCCAAATTTTTAACTAAAAGTTTAATTTTGAAATAACTGATCTCATCTGGAGTTGAAGCTATTTCATTGATTCCTGTATTTTTCATGAAATCAATTACTTTTAATGATTTTAAGCCATCAAAAGATTCTGGAGATAGAAAATTGATTCGGTTTTCAGCAAAATAAATAAATTGAAGGTTCTCATTGTAGATGAATAAGTCTTTTGGTATGACAGAAATTTGATTAATTGACAAATCAAGTTCAACTAACGATGGAAAAGCTTTTAAAATCTCATTTGAAATATTCTTAATTGATGCATTTTTGACAGTAATAAATTTTAATTCTTCAAAAAAGTTTTCAGCATCTGACGGGAATCTGATTAGATTTTGATTTTCAATTATGAGTTCAACAACATAACTCATGCTGCTTTGTCTATTTGATGGTTTTGTAACTGATTTAATTATTGTATCGTTTTCATTGAGCTGTAGAAGTTCTCCTTTGCATTGATACAAGTGCTTATTAAGCTTCTCATTATAATGTTCACTATAATCACAATTAAGAATCGCCCCATTCGTGTATATCCAGAAGAAGCTCGAAACCAATAAGATGAAAAGAATTTGTTGAATCCTAAATATTGAAATAAATATCAATTAAAAATGAAAGTTTTTTTTAAATTCTTAAAATTCAAGAACAATAAAAAAGTAACAAAAACCTACATTTTGAGTCAGCTGTCTGTGAAGAAATTGAAAATTTTACTAATATATTATTTGAAATTCGATTTATTTTATATCATTTTTGTTGATCTTCAGAAACATTAAGTTTGTTAAATTTTGGAAACTTCTTCATTTGAACTTGTTATTTAAATATTTAAATAACCGTTAACAACTGAGAAAATAGATTATTTTAAGGCTAAAACAGATTAAATCCTCACCTCAAGATGATCTTAAGTTTATAACTTTTAATCATCCTTAACCAGAGGCATAATTCTAAGGCTACGTCCTCTGGGCCAAGAAATATTTTTTATCGCATTTTCCTCTAATGCTCCGAAAGGAAACAATGCACTTATAGGTCTACTTTGACTGGCTGGTTGGCTGGCTACCACAAGTGCTTGGAACTGGAAGTACTTGGAGATCTCTAGTCTTGTGAATTAAATAGCTGCTAATTCATAGTTTTGCAGGTTTTTTGTTGTTGTTAAAAAATCTTTTTAGTTTTATAATTAAATTAATTTATCTTTCTTTTATCCATGCGATGGCATAACTTATTTTTACATAACATAATTTAATTTTCAAAATACCCATAACATTTGAATGTTAAAAAACCGATATTTAAGAATTTTTACAACTTTTACAGTGAAAATCCACTGAGATTTGGCATGAAGGTTCGGTAGCTGTTCTTGAGTAGCGTAGATTGTTAAGAGAAGGGTTAGAGGGTCATGTGTTCAACGTCCTTATATCTAACTGGATCAATGTATATGACTTCAATATGAATTTATTGATCTACTCGAGTAAAATGCACTTCCGTCCATTCACATTACTATTTAACCTTAATAAATTCTTTCTCCTATTTATAATGTTTCCATTTCCAAACGCATCTTGTTCAAAAATAAAAAAAATAATAATTTACAATGCGCTTTCACCCCACTTAACATTTTAAAAATCAATAACATATCTTCCTCTATTTTATATGAATCACACTCTAGAAAAAATATAAAATAAATTACATGATATTGTTATCGCAATTTGAGATGATGATTAATCGGTTATTTTGTACACAGATATAAAAAGCACTTCGCCGTATCAATCATGAAATTTTTCCCATCAATTTTTTAGCATAGCTTAAAAATATTTATATATATTTTTTACATTCCATGTTCTATCAATGTTCAAAAACAGACATTCATCAATTTCATCCTCATCCTCACCTACTGTGATCCGTAATATTACATATCCTATATTTATGGCATCGACTCGTTCAACGAAATGTGCATAAATAGCAACAACAACAATGTTAAAAAATTGTGCTGTACATATTTGCAGGGCGTATGGGAGAGGAAACTTGATTATTTCTGGTAAAGTGTTTTTCACTCGAACGAATCGATAATGCTTGAAATTTATAGCATTTTTACGAATATCAATGGATGACAAGAAGGAAAAAAAAACATCGAAATTAATGGATATTATTCCCTGGCAATAAATGTCATGCCATAAACAGCAATTGATACATACTTTTTTTTTCTTATTCATAAATATTGATAAGGAAATAATTTTTTTTACGTGAACCGCTTTACGATTCATTGATTATCCATCTGCTCGATGTCTCGTTGCTGCCGCTTGCTTGTAAATTGATTTCATTAATTTTAGCTGAAAAGGGAGAATTGTCATTAACAGTTTGTGCCACTATACAGCCAATAACAAATAGAGACTAAATTAAAGTTCTTTATTTTGTAGTTGGAATGGATGTTGATTTGTTATCGATACTTTTATTGCTTTATTTTGAAAACATCACTTTATTGGGATTTTATAAATGTTTTTTTGAAGTTTTATTTATTGATTGTAAATTGCGGAATTTGAGAGGTACGAGCTGTGGTTCAAGGATTGTCTGGATGTCTGAAAACGCGAAAATTAGTGATCGTACAGATGGAGCTACACATAATGCGAAATGACATGAAAAAGTGATATTACATTTTGGGGTCGTACACTTATAACGTCCGAAATTACCGATCACTTTTCAAAAAAGAACAATTGATTTCCAGAAATTTCTCCTGCTATTTTATTGCTAAAACCCTCCCTCACGGACGTCATTAGTAAACGGCCCTTTTTGTGATTCAAATTTTTTACCGTTAAGAAAAAAAACATTGAATTTCTGAACATGCCCCAACCAATTTTTATAACGGTAGAAAATCTTTTTGAAATTTTTTAATACGTTCTGAACACTTTTTTAACCGTGGGAAATATTTTTAAAATTTTTGAACACACTCATCACATATTTTCATTTGAAATAGAAAAATCATTAATTTTATTATAAATAAACTGTTTCAAGACTTCTTGTCTTGTTACTCTATTAATATTGTCAAAAATGCCATATTATATTAAGAATAATAAGAGTAAAAATTGATCGAAATAAAAAAATATCAAGCAAGGAAAGGTTCCAAATTCTTTATTCCATTCCTGCTTCGACAGAATCCTTTTTGCTAATTTTTGTAAACAAACGCCAAATATTAAATCAACATTCATTCCTCACCACAAATCATCTATAATTTTCTTCTTCAAACTTCCAATCCTTTTGTTAAATTGAATGGCAGTAAATAAAGAGATAAAGTGAAATTTTATAGAGCATGGCAGTACACTTAAAAAAAATCAATAAATCTCAAATTTCAACATCTTCAAACTTCATTAGATTTTGCTCTATTCGATCGCTTCAAAGAGAAATAAAATTTTATATATTCATGCTTGCAGGAGCAAAATATCTATGTACTTAGAAATGTATAAAATATTTTATGTAGAAAAGTTGGGGTTGAAAACATAGTCGATGTGATTTGAGGGACAAGGTTTTAAGAAGGTTTGATTCAGGAATGTTTATATGAAATCTTGCATTTTTTCATTTTTAAAACTTTCAATTTAAAATTTAAAAAGTTTAAATTTTAATCTTTAAATTTGTTTTTTTTTGGTTTTCGACTTTTTTGATTTTGAATGTTTTTGAATTCTATTTTTTTTTGATGTTTTAATTTTTAATATTTTTTCTTTTAATTCTTTTTTTAATATGAATTTTTTGATTTTAAATTTTATTGATTTTTTTTTAAGTTTGAATTTTTTGGTTTTCACGTTTTTTTTTGAACTTTAATTTTTTTAATTTTGATTTTTAAATTTTTTCAATATTGAATTTTGACTTTATTATAACTTTAATATTGTGAAAATCAATTTAAATAAAATACAATTTTTTACTAAGTTTCCCATTCTCATCCGTCAATTTAATCGAATTATTTTATCTATATATGTTCAAACGTGTGTGTCTGTATTTTATATACACACAAAAAAAGTAGGAAGTCATAAATTGTTTGCTTCAACTATCAATTTTTTAGACTTCTTTATATTCTCATTTTCTCGTTTCGTGTTCTTTATGATATAAAAATAAATTCAAAGACGAAAGAGCTGCAAGCATAATGTACAAAGTCATAAAAAGGATATCAAATTTTATACATATAACTATGTGTATAAAAAAAAGGAGAAGAAGAAAAAAAAGTTTTATAGCTCGGGTCATATCGAGAAAGGATGGCGCATGAAATCTTAGATATGATGTCTCAAAAAAAAGTATCAAATGACACTTTTTTGATTTTCTTTACGACATCGCATTAATTCAAAATGGAAAAGTTTTTCGCCTTTTCATTCCGGCTTCTTTTGCTTCGAGGATAGCTTCATACTTCTTGTCTTTTTGGAAAGCTATAAAAAATTGAATTTTCTTTTTGATTTCTCATTCTTCAAATTGAATGCGAGCTCGCAAAAGAAAAAGTTTCGAATGAAGAATTCTCATAAAATTAGGACATTCTTTTATCTATTTGTGGATTTCTTCAATAAAAAATGTGTGTTATGAATGTCATTGGGATAGATTGATGATAAAAATTATATTGGAAAGTTTTTTGAAATCTTTGCGGCTTTTGGGGTTTAAAAAGTATTTTTCTCACTTTGTCAGTTAAAAATAGTTAAGTTTAAACTTAACTAAGTTGGTTTTTGTTTCTTGATTGTTGGTTCTTGGATCTTGGTTCTTGGTTTTTGGTTTATGGTTCTTGGTTCTTGATTGTTGGTTCTTGGTTCTTGATTGTTGGTTCATGGTTCATGATTCTTGGTTTTTGGTTCTTGATTCTTGGTTTATGGTTCTTAGTTCTTGATTTTTGATTCTTGGTTCTTAGTTCTTGGTTCTTGGTTTATGGTTTATGGTTCTTAGTTCTTGATTGTTGGTTCTTGGTTCTTAGTTCTTGGTTTATGGTTTATGGTTCTTGATTCTTGATTGTTGGTTCTTGGTTCTTAAGTCTTGGTTCTTGGTTTTTGATTCTTGGTTCTTGATTTATGATTTTTGGTTCTTGGTTTTTTGTTAGTGGTTCTTGGTTCCTGATTGTTGGTTCTTGACTAAAGATTCTTGGTTCTTGATTGTTGGTTTTTAGGTCTTGATTGTTGGTTTTTGATTCTTGGTTTTTTATTATGGTTCTTGGTTATTGATTCTTGGTTCTTGATTTATGATTTTTGGTTCTTGGTTTTTTGTTAATGGTTCTTGGTTCCTGATTGCTGGTTCTTGACTAAAGATTCGTGGTTCTTGATTGTTGGTTCTTTGTTCTTGATTGTTGGTTCTTGGTTTATGGTTTATGGTTTATGGTTTATGGTTTATGGTTTATGGTTCTTGGTTCTTGATTCTTGATTCTTGGTTCTTGATTGTTGGTTTTTGGTTCTTGATTCTTAGTTCTTGGTTCTTGGTTTATGGTTTATGGTTTATGGTTCTTGGTTCTTGATTGTTGGTTCTTGGTTCTTAATTCTTGGTTCTTGGTTTTGATTCTTGGTTCTTGATTTATGATTTTTGTTTCTTGATTCTTGGTTTATGGTTCTTGATTCTTGTTTGTTGGTTCTTGGTTCTTAATTCTTGGTTCTTGGTTTTTGATTCTTGGTTCTTGATATATGATTTTTGGTTCTTGGTTTTTTGTCAATGGTTCTTGGTTCTTGGTTGTTGATTCTTGGTTCTTGATTGTTGATTCTTGGTTCTTAGTTCTTGGT